AAGCGAGTGTGTGAGTGAATGTGTCAGTGAATGAGTGGCTTAGTGAGTGAGTGAGTGGCTTAGTGAGTGAGTGGTTGAGTGAGTGAGTGGCTGGGTGAGTGAGTGGCTGGGTGAGTGAGTGGCTGAGTGAGTGAGTGGGTGGATGAGTGAGTGTGTGAGTGAGTGGCTGAGTGAGTGAGTGAGTGGCTGAATGAGTGGCAGAGTGAGTGAGTGAGTGGCTAAGTGAGTGGCTGGGTGAGTGAGTGGCTTAGTGAGTGAGTGAGTGGCTTAGTGGGTGAGTGGGTGAGTGAGTGGCTGAGAGAGTGGCTGAATGGATGAGTGAGTGGCTGAGTGAGTGGCTGAGTGAGTGAGTGGCTGAGTGAGTGAGTGAGTGGCTGAGTGAGTGAGTGAGTGGCTGAGTGAGTGGGTGGGTGGGTGGATGAGTGAGTGGGTGGGTGGATGAGTGAGTGTGTGAGTGAGTGAGTGGCTGAGTGAGTGAGTGGCTTAGTGAGTGAGTGGCTTAGTGAGTGAGTGAGTGGCTTAGTGAGTGAGCGGCTGGGTGAGTGGCTGAGTGAGTGAGTGCCTGAGTGAGTGAGTGGCTGAGTGAGTGAGTGAGTGGCTGAGTGAGCTGTCATCACCTGGGGTAAGGGTCACCGAAGAAGTGAGTGAGTAGCTGAACCCGCACCATGTAAGCCAACAGTGGATAGACCGTCGTGAGCTGGAAGAGCAAAAAAATCCTCGCCGCCACAGCCATGAAATCATCGCTGGGAAGATTGTCCAGAAAGTTCTGACGGGGAAAAACACAACCAATGAAAACTCCCATAGACTCCAACGTTAAAGTGTCTACCCATAGACTCCAATGTTAAAATGTCTACCCATAGACTTCAATGTTAAAGTGTCTACCCATAGACTCCAATGTTAAAGTGTCTACCCATAGACTCCAATGATAAAGTGTCTACCCATAGACTCCAACGTTAAAGTGTCTACCCATAGACTCCAATGTTAAAGTGTCTACCCATAGACTCCAACGTTAAAGTGTCCACCCATAGACTCCAATGTTAAAGTGTCTACCCATAGACTCCAATGTTAAAGTGTCTACCCATAGACTCCAGTGTTAAAGTGTCTACCCATAGACTCCTATGTTAAAGTGTCTACCCATAGACTCCAATGTTAAAGTGTCTACCCATAGACTCCAATGTTAAAGTGTCTACCCATAGACTCCTATGTTAAAGTGTCTACCCATAGACTCCAATGTTAAAGTGTCTACCCATAGACTTCAATGTTAAAGTGTCCACCCATAGACTCCATGTTAAAGTGTCTACCCATAGACTCCAATGTTAAAGTGTCTACCCATAGACTCCAATGTTAAAGTGGCCACCCATAGACTCCAATGTTAAAGTGTCTACCCATAGACTCCAATGTTAAAGTGTCTACCCATAGACTCCATGTTAAAGTGTCTACCCATAGACTCCAACGTTAAAGTGTCTACCCATAGACTCCAACGTTAAAGTGTCTACCCATAGACTCCATGTTAAAGTGTCTACCCATAGACTCCAATGTTAAAGTGTCTACCCATAGACTCCGATGTTAAAGTCTCAACCCATAGACTCCAACGTTAAAGTGTCTACCCATAGACTCCAATGTTAAAGTGTCTACCCATAGACTCCAATGTTAAAGTGTCTACCCATAGACTCCAACGTTAAAGTGTCTACCCATAGACTCCAACGTTAAAGTGTCTACCCATAGACTCCAACGTTAAAGTGTCTACCCATAGACTCCAACGTTAAAGTGTCTACCCATAGACTCCAACGTTAAAGTGTTTACCCATAGACTCCAATGTTAAAGTGTCTACCCATAGACTCCAATGTTAAAGTGTCTACCCATAGACTCCAATGTTAAAGTGTCTACCCATAGACTCCAATGTTAAAGTGTCTACCCATAGACTCCAATGTTAAAGTGTCTACCCATAGACTTCAGTGTTAAAGTGTCTACCCATAGACTCCAATGTTAAAGTGTCTACCCATAGACTCCAACGTTAAAGTGTCTAGCCATAGACTCCAGTGTTAAAGTGTCTACCCATAGACTCCAATGTTAAAGTGTCTACCCATAGACTCCAATGTTAAAGTGTCTACCCATAGACTCCAATGTTAAAGTGTCTACCCATAGACTCCAACGTTAAAGTGTCTAGCCATAGACTCCAGTGTTAAAGTGTCTACCCATAGACTCCAATGTTAAAGTGTCTACCCATAGACTCCAATGTTAAAGTGTCTACCCATAGACTCCAATGTTAAAGTGTCTACCCATAGACTCCAATGTTAAAGTGTCTACCCATAGACTCCAATGTTAAAGTGTCTACCCATAGACTCCAATGTTAAAGTGTCTACCCATAGACTCCAATGTTAAAGTGTCTACCCATAGACTCCAACGTTAAAGTGTCTACCCACAGACTCCAATGTTAAAGTGTCTACCCATAGACTCCAATGCTAAAGTGTCTACCCATAGACTGCAATGTTAAAGTGTCTACCCATAGACTCCAATGTTAAAGTGTAGTGATGGTGATGATGGTAGTGATGGTAGTGATGGTGATGATAGTGATGGTAGTGATGTTAGTGAAGGTGATGGTAGTGATGGTAGTGATGGTGATGGTAGTGATGGTAGTGATGTTAGTGAAGGTGATGGTAGTGATGGTAGTGATGGTGATGGTAGTGATGGTAGTGATGTTAGTGATGGTGGTAGTGATGGTATTGATGGTAGTGATGGTAGTGATGATGATGGTAGTGATGGTAGTGATGGTGGTGGTGATGGTGGTGATGGTGGTGGTGATGGTGATGGTGGTGGTGATGGTGATTTACCTGTTCGATACACCGCTTAGACAGTGATGGTAGTGATGGTGGTGATGATGGTGATAGTAATGATGGTAGTGATGGTAGTGATGGTGATTTACCTGTTCGATACACCGCTTAGACAGTGATGGTAGTGATGGGAAGCAGATGAACACCACACTACCTACGTATAGGTAGGTGATGGTAGTGATGGTAGTGATGATGGTGGTGATGGTAGTGATGGTGATGATGGTAGTGATGATGTTAGTGATGGTAGTGATGGTAGTGATGATGGTAGTGATGATGGTGGTGATGGTGATGGTAGTGATGATGATGGTAGTGATGGTGATGATGTTAGTGATGGTAGTGATGGTAGTGATGGTAGTAGTGATGGTAGTGATGGTGATTTACCTGTTCGATACACCACTTAGACAGTGATGGTAGTGATGGTAGTGATGATGGTAGTGATGATGGTAGTGATGGTAGTGATGATGGTAGTGATGATGGTAGTGATGATGGTGATGATGGTAGTGATGGTGATGGTAGTGATGATGGTAGTGATGGTAGTGATGGTAGTGATGGTGATTTACCTGTTCGATACACCGCTTAGACAGTGATGGTAGTGATGGTGGTGATGGTAGTGATGGTGATGATGGTAGTGATGGTAGTGATGATGGTAGTGATGGTAGTGATGTTAGTGATGGTAGTGATGGTGATTTACCTGTTCGATACACCGCTTAGACAGTGGTGGTAGTGATGGGAAGCAGATGAACACCACACTACCTACGTAAAGGTAGGTGATGGTGATGATGGTAGTGATGGTAGTGATGGTGATGGTAGTGATGGTGGTAGTGATGGTGATGATGGTAGTGATGGTGATTTACCTGTTCGATACATCTCTTAGACAGTGGTGGTAGTGATGGGAAGCAGATGAACACCACACTACCTACGTAAAGGTAGGTGATGGTGATGATGGTAGTGATGGTAGTGATGATGGTGGTGATGATGATGGTGGTGATGGTGATTTACCTGTTCGATACATCTCTTAGACAGTGGTGGTAGTGATGGGAAGCAGATGAACACCACACTACCTATGTAAAGGTAGGTGATGGTGGTGATGGTAGTGATGGTGATGATGGTAGTGATGGTGATGATGGTAGTGATGGTGATTTACCTGTTCGATACATCTCTTAGACAGTGGTGGTAGTGATGGGAAGCAGATGAACACCACACTACCTACGTAGAGGTAGGTGATGGTGATGATGGTGATGGTGGTGATGGTGATGGTAGTGATGGTGGTAGTGATGGTGGTAGTGATGGTGATGATGGTAGTGATGGTGATTTACCTGTTCGATACACCGCTTAGACAGTGGTGGTAGTGATGGGAAGCAGATGAACACCACACTACCTACATAGAGGTAGGTGATGGTGATGATGGTAGTGATGGTGATGATGGTAGTGATGGTGGTAGTGATGGTGATTTACCTGTTCGATACACCGCTTAGACAGTGGTGTTAGTGATGGGAAGCAGATGAACACCACACTACCTACATAGAGGTAGGTGATGGTGATGATGGTGATGGTGGTGATGGAAGTGATGGTGATGATGGTAGTGATGATGGTGGTGATGGTGATTTACCTGTTCAATGCATCTCTTAGACAGTGGTGGTAGTGATGGGAAGCAGATGAACACCACACTACCTACATAGAGGTAGGTGATGGTGATGATGTTAGTGATGGTGATGGTGGTGATGGTGATTTACCTGTTCGATACACCTCTTAGACAGTGGTGGTAGTGATGGGAAGCAGATGAACACCACACTACCTACGTAGAGGTAGGTGATGGTGATGATGGTAGTGATGGTAGTGATGGTAGTGATGGTGGTAGTGATGATCGTAGTGATGGTGATGGTGGTGATGGTGATTTACCTGTTCGATACACCTCTTAGACAGTGGTGATAGTGATGGGAAGCAGATGAACACCACACTACCTACGTAGAGGTAGGTGATGGTGATGGTAGTGATGGTAGTGATGGTAGTGATGATGATGGTAGTGATGATGGTGATGGTAGTAGTGATGGTGGTGATGGTAGTGATGGTGATTTACCTGTTCGATACATCTCTTAGACAGTGATGGTAGTGATGGGAAGCAGATGAACACCACACTACCTACGTAAAGGTAGGTGATGGTGATGATGGTGATGGTGGTGATGGTGATGGTAGTGGTGATGGTAGTGATGGTAGTGATGATGGTAGTGATGGTGGTAGTGATGGTGATTTACCTGTTCGATACATCTCTTAGACAGTGGTGGTAGTGATGGGAAGCAGATGAACACCACACTACCTACGTAAAGGTAGGTGATGGTGATGATGGTGATGATGGTAGTGATGATGGTAGTGATGGTGATGGTGGTGATGGTAGTGATGGTGATTTACCTGTTCGATACACCGCTTAGACAGTGGTGGTAGTGATGGGAAGCAGATGAACACCACACTACCTACGTAAAGGTAGGTGATGGTGATGATGGTAGTGATGGTGGTAGTGATGGTGATGGTGGTGATGGTGATGATGGTGATTTACCTGTTCGATACATCTCTTAGAGAGTGGTGGTAGTGATGGGAAGCAGATGAACACCACACTACCTACATAGAGGTAGGTGATGGTGGTGATGGTAGTGATGGTGATTTACCTGTTCAATGCATCTCTTAGAGAGTGGTGGTAGTGATGGGAAGCAGATGAACACCACACTACCTACATAGAGGTAGGTGATGGTGATGATGGTAGTGATGATGGTAGTGATGGTGGTGATGGTAGTAGTGATGGTAGTGATGGTGGTAGTGATGGTGATGGTGGTAGTGATGGTGATTTACCTGTTCGATACACCGCTTAGAGAGTGGTGGTAGTGATGGGAAGCAGATGAACACCACACTACCTACATAGAGGTAGGTGATGGTGATGATGATAGTGATGGTGGTGATGGTGATTTACCTGTTCGATACACCGCTTAGACAGTGGTGGTAGTGATGGGAAGCAGATGAACACCACACTTCCTACGTAAAGGTAGGTGATGGTGATGATGATAGGGATGGTGGTAGTGATGGTGATTTACCTGTTCGATACACCGCTTAGACAGTGGTAGTAGTGATGGGAAGCAGATGAACACCACACTACCTACATAGAGGTAGGTGATGGTGATGATGATAGTGATGGTGGTAGTGATGGTGATTTACCTGTTCGATACACCGCTTAGACAGTGGTGGTAGTGATGGGAAGCAGATGAACACCACACTACCTACATAGAGGTAGGTGATGGTGATGATGATAGTGATGGTGGTAGTGATGGTGATTTACCTGTTCGATACACCGCTTAGACAGTGGTGGTAGTGATGGGAAGCAGATGAACACCACACTACCTACATAGAGGTAGGTGATGGTGATGATGGTAGTGATGGTGATGATGGTAGTGATGGTGGTAGTGATGGTGATTTACCTGTTCGATACATCTCTTAGAGAGTGGTGGTAGTGATGGGAAGCAGATGAACACCACACTACCTACATAGAGGTAGGTGATGGTGATGATGGTAGTGATGGTGGTGATGGTAGTGATGGTAGTGATGGTGATGATGGTAGTGATGGTGATGATGGTGATGATGGTGATTTACCTGTTCGATGCATCTCTTAGACAGTGGTGGTAGTGATGGGAAGCAGATGAACACCACACTACCTACATAGAGGTAGGTGATGGTGGTGATGGTAGTGATGGTGATTTACCTGTTCAATGCATCTCTTAGAGAGTGGTGGTCGTGATGGGAAGCAGATGAACACCACACTACCTACATAGAGGTAGGTGATGGTGGTGATGGTAGTGATGGTGATTTACCTGTTCAATGCATCTCTTAGACAGTGGTGGTAGTGATGGGAAGCAGATGAACACCACACTACCTACATAGAGGTAGGTGATGGTGATGATGGTAGTGATGATGGTAGTGATGGTGATTTACCTGTTCGATGCATCTCTTAGACAGTGGTGGTAGTGATGGGAAGCAGATGAACACCACACTACCTACATAGAGGTAGGTGATGGTGGTTATGGTAGTGATGATGGTAGTGATGGTGATTTACCTGTTCAATGCATCTCTTAGACAGTGGTGGTAGTGATGGGAAGCAGATGAACACCACACTACCTACATAGAGGTAGGTGATGGTGATGATGGTAGTGATGGTGATGATGGTAGTAGTGATGGTAGTGATGATGGTAGTGATGGTGATGATGGTAGTGATGGTGATGATGGTAGTGATGATGGTAGTGATGGTGATGGTGGTGATGGTGATTTACCTGTTCAATGCATCTCTTAGACAGTGGTGGTAGTGATGGGAAGCAGATGAACACCACACTACCTACATAGAGGTAGGTGATGGTGGTGATGGTAGTGATGGTGATGATGGTAGTGATGGTAGTGATGGCAGTGATGGTGATGGTAGTGATGGTAGTGATGGTGATGATGGTAGTGATGGTGATTTACCTGTTCGATACACCGCTTAGACAGTGGTGGTAGTGATGGGAAGCAGATGAACACCACACTACCTACATAGAGGTAGGTGATGGTGATGATGTTAGTGATGGTAGTGATGGTGATTTACCTGTTCGATACACCGCTTAGACAGTGGTGGTAGTGATGGGAAGCAGATGAACACCACACTACCTACATAGAGGTAGGTGATGGTGGTGATGGTAGTGATGGTGATTTACCTGTTCGATACACCGCTTAGACAGTGGTGGTAGTGATGGGAAGCAGATGAACACCACACTACCTACATAGAGGTACGTGCTCCCCACCAGCAAGTATCCCACGGCCAGATCACGAACCTGCAGCCGCCCACATCCACCTCAGCGTCAGCAATCCGTCAGTCAGTCAGTCACTCAGTTAGTCACTCAGTCAGTCAGTCAGTTAGTCAGTTAGTCAGTCACTCAGTCAGTCACTCAGTCAGTCAGTCACTCAGTCAGTTAGTCACTCAGTCAGTCACTCAGTCAGTCACTCAGTCAGTCAGTCACTCAGTCAGTCACTCAGTCATTCACTCAGTCACACACTCAGTCAGTCACTCAGTCACTCAGTCAGTCACTCAGTCAGTCACTCAGTCAGTCAGTCACTCAGTCACTCAGTCAGTCACTCAGTCACTCAGTCAGTCAGTCAGTCACTCAGTCAGTCACTCACTCATTCAGTCACTCAGTCAGTCAGTCACTCACTCAGTCACTCAGTCAGTCACTCAGTCATTCAGTCACTCAGTCACTCACTCAGTCACTCACTCACTCAGTCACTCACTCAGTCACTCAATGACTCACTCACTCACTCAGTCACTCACATTGTGGTGTGCGTGCCGGTTGTTCTTGAGCAGCGTGATGACGCAGTTGTGGATGAAGTAGGCGAGAGTGAGGACGCCACTCATCACCGGGAAGTTGACGTTAAACTCTGCGGGCAAACAAGTCACTCAGTGAGTCACTCAGTGAGTCAGTCATTTACTCAGTGAGTCACTCAGTGAGTCAGTCAGTCACTCAGTGAGTCACTCAGTGAGTCACTCAGTGAGTCACTCAGTCAGTCAGTCACTCAGTCACTCAGTCAGTCACTCAGTCACTCAGTCAGTGTGATGACGCAGTTGTGGATGAAGTAGGCGAGAGTGAGGACGCCACTCATCACCGGGAAGTTGACGTTAAACTCTGTGGGGGGAACAAGTCACTCAGTCAGTCACTCAGTGAGTCAGTCAGTCAGTCACTCAGTCAGTCACTCAGTGAGTCAGTCACTCAGTCAGTCAGTCAGTCACTCAGTCAGTGAGTCAGTCAGTCACTCAGTCACTCAGTCAGTGCGTCAGTTAGTCAGTCAGTCAGTCAGTCAGTGAGTCAGTTAGTCAGTCAGTCAGTCAGTCAGTCAGTGAGTCAGTTAGTCAGTCAGTCAGTCAGTCACTCAGTGAGTCAGTCAGTCACTCAGTTAGTCACTCAGTCAGTCAGTTAGTCAGTCACTCAGTCAGTCAGTCAGTGAGTCAGTTAGTCAGTCAGTCAGTCACTCAGTGAGTCAGTCAGTCAGTCACTCAGTCAGTCACTCAGTGAGTCAGTCACTCAGTCAGTCAGTCAGTCACTCAGTCAGTGAGTCAGTCAGTCACTCAGTCACTCAGTCAGTGCGTCAGTTAGTCAGTCAGTCAGTCAGTCAGTGAGTCAGTTAGTCAGTCAGTCAGTCAGTGAGTCAGTTAGTCAGTCAGTCAGTCAGTCACTCAGTGAGTCAGTCAGTCACTCAGTTAGTCACTCAGTCAGTCAGTTAGTCAGTCACTCAGTCAGTCAGTCAGTGAGTCAGTTAGTCAGTCAGTCAGTCAGTCACTCAGTGAGTCAGTCAGTCACTCAGTTAGTCACTCAGTCAGTCAGTTAGTCACTCAGTGAGTCAGTCACTCAGTGAGTCAGTCAGTCAGTCACTCAGTCAGTCAGTCAGTGAGTCAGTTAGTCAGTCAGTCAGTCAGTCACTCAGTGAGTCAGTCAGTCACTCAGTTAGTCACTCAGTCAGTCAGTCAGTCACTCAGTCAGTCAGTCAGTGAGTCAGTTAGTCAGTCAGTCAGTCAGTCACTCAGTGAGTCAGTCAGTCACTCAGTTAGTCACTCAGTCAGTCAGTTAGTCAGTCACTCAGTCAGTCAGTCAGTGAGTCAGTTAGTCAGTCAGTCAGTCAGTCACTCAGTGAGTCAGTCAGTCACTCAGTTAGTCACTCAGTCAGTCAGTTAGTCACTCAGTGAGTCAGTCACTCAGTGAGTCAGTCAGTCAGTCACTCAGTCAGTCAGTCAGTGAGTCAGTTAGTCAGTCAGTCAGTCACTCAGTGAGTCAGTCAGTCACTCAGTTAGTCACTCAGTCCGTCAGTTAGTCACTCAGTGAGTCAGTCAGTCACTCAGTGAGTCAGTCAGTCACTCAGTGAGTCAGTCAGTCAGTCACTCAGTGAGTCAGTTAGTCAGTCAGTCAGTCACTCAGTGAGTCAGTTAGTCAGTCACTCAGTGAGTCAGTCACTCAGTCAGTCAGTCACTCAGTCAGTCAGTCACTCAGTGAGTCAGTCACTCAGTGAGTCAGTCAGTCACTCAGTGAGTCAGTCAGTCAGTCACTCAGTGAGTCAGTCACTCAGTCAGTCAGTCACTCAGTCAGTGAGTTAGTCAGTCACTCAGTGAGTCACTCAGTGAGTCAGTCACTCAGTGAGTCACTCAGTGAGTCAGTCAGTCAGTCACTCAGTCACTCAGTCAGTGAGTCAGTTAGTCAGTCACTCAGTCAGTCAGTCAGTGAGTCAGTTAGTCAGTCACTCAGTCAGTCAGTGAGTCAGTTAGTCAGTCAGTCAGTCACTCAGTGAGTCAGTCAGTCACTCAGTTAGTCACTCAGTCAGTCAGTTAGTCAGTCACTCAGTCAGTCAGTCAGTGAGTCAGTTAGTCAGTCAGTCAGTCACTCAGTGAGTCAGTCAGTCACTCAGTTAGTCACTCAGTCAGTCAGTCACTCAGTGAGTCAGTCACTCAGTGAGTCAGTCAGTCAGTCAGTCACTCAGTCAGTCAGTCAGTGAGTCAGTTAGTCAGTCAGTCAGTCACTCAGTGAGTCAGTCAGTCACTCAGTTAGTCACTCAGTCAGTCAGTTAGTCACTCAGTGAGTCAGTCACTCAGTGAGTCAGTCAGTCAGTCACTCAGTCAGTCAGTCAGTGAGTCAGTTAGTCAGTCAGTCAGTCAGTCACTCAGTGAGTCAGTCAGTCACTCAGTTAGTCACTCAGTCAGTCAGTCAGTCACTCAGTCAGTCAGTCAGTGAGTCAGTTAGTCAGTCAGTCAGTCAGTCACTCAGTGAGTCAGTCAGTCACTCAGTTAGTCACTCAGTCAGTCAGTTAGTCAGTCACTCAGTCAGTCAGTCAGTGAGTCAGTTAGTCAGTCAGTCAGTCAGTCACTCAGTGAGTCAGTCAGTCACTCAGTTAGTCACTCAGTCAGTCAGTTAGTCACTCAGTGAGTCAGTCACTCAGTGAGTCAGTCAGTCAGTCACTCAGTCAGTCAGTCAGTGAGTCAGTTAGTCAGTCAGTCAGTCACTCAGTGAGTCAGTCAGTCACTCAGTTAGTCACTCAGTCCGTCAGTTAGTCACTCAGTGAGTCAGTCAGTCACTCAGTGAGTCAGTCAGTCACTCAGTGAGTCAGTCAGTCAGTCACTCAGTGAGTCAGTTAGTCAGTCAGTCAGTCACTCAGTGAGTCAGTTAGTCAGTCACTCAGTGAGTCAGTCACTCAGTCAGTCAGTCACTCAGTCAGTCAGTCACTCAGTGAGTCAGTCACTCAGTGAGTCAGTCAGTCACTCAGTGAGTCAGTCAGTCAGTCAGTCAGTCACTCAGTCAGTCAGTCACTCAGTGAGTCAGTGAGTTAGTCAGTCACTCAGTGAGTCACTCAGTGAGTCAGTCACTCAGTGAGTCACTCAGTGAGTCAGTCAGTCAGTCACTCAGTCACTCAGTCAGTGAGTCAGTTAGTCAGTCACTCAGTCAGTCAGTCAGTGAGTCAGTTAGTCAGTCACTCAGTCAGTCAGTGAGTCAGTTAGTCAGTCAGTCAGTCACTCAGTGAGTCAGTCAGTCACTCAGTTAGTCACTCAGTCAGTCAGTTAGTCAGTCACTCAGTCAGTCAGTCAGTGAGTCAGTTAGTCAGTCAGTCACTCAGTGAGTCAGTCACTCAGTGAGTCAGTCAGTCAGTCAGTCACTCAGTCAGTCAGTCAGTGAGTCAGTTAGTCAGTCAGTCAGTCACTCAGTGAGTCAGTCAGTCACTCAGTTAGTCACTCAGTCAGTCAGTTAGTCACTCAGTGAGTCAGTCAGTCACTCAGTGAGTCAGTCAGTCACTCAGTGAGTCAGTCAGTCAGTCACTCAGTGAGTCAGTTAGTCAGTCAGTCAGTCACTCAGTGAGTCAGTTAGTCAGTCACTCAGTGAGTCAGTCACTCAGTCAGTCAGTCACTCAGTCAGTCAGTCACTCAGTGAGTCAGTCACTCAGTGAGTCAGTCAGTCACTCAGTGAGTCAGTCAGTCAGTCACTCAGTGAGTCAGTCACTCAGTCAGTCAGTCACTCAGTCAGTGAGTCAGTCAGTCACTCAGTGAGTCAGTCACTCAGTGAGTCAGTCAGTCAGTGAGTCAGTGAGTCAGTCAGTCACTCAGTGAGTCAGTCACTCAGTGAGTCAGTCACTCAGTCAGTCACTCAGTCACTCAGTGAGTCAGTCACTCAGTGAGTCAGTCAGTCACTCAGTCAGTGAGTCAGTCAGTCAGTCACTCAGTAAGTCAGTCACTCAGTCAGTCAGTCACTCAGTCAGTGAGTCAGTCAGTCACTCAGTGAGTCAGTCACTCAGTGAGTCAGTCAGTCAGTGAGTCAGTGAGTCAGTCAGTCACTCAGTGAGTCAGTCACTCAGTGAGTCAGTCACTCAGTCAGTCACTCAGTCACTCAGTGAGTCAGTCACTCAGTCAGGTAGTCAGTCAGTCAGTCACTCAGTCAGTCAGTCACTCACTCACACGCTCACTCAGTCAGTCAGTCACTCAGTCAGTCAGTCAGTTAGTTAGTCAGTCACTCACTCACACGCTCACTCATCACCGGGAAGTTGACGTTAAACTCTGCGGGGGGAATAAGTCACTCAGTCAGTCAGTCAGTCACTCAGTGAGTCAGTTAGTCAGTCAGTCAGTCACTCAGTTAGTCAGTCAGTCACTCAGTCAGTCACTCAGTCAGTCAGTTAGTCAGTGAGTTAGTTAGTCAGTCAGTCAGTCACTCAGTTAGTCAGTCAGTCACTCAGTCAGTCACTCAGTCACTCAGTGAGTCAGTCAGTCACTCAGTCAGTCACTCAGTCAGTCAGTCACTCAGTGAGTCAGTCAGTCAGTCACTCAGTCAGTCACTCAGTCAGTCAGTCAGTCACTCAGTGAGTCAGTTAGTCAGTCAGTCACTCAGTTAGTCAGTCAGTCACTCAGTCAGTCACTCAGTTAGTCAGTCAGTCACTCAGTCAGTCACTCAGTCACTCAGTGAGTCAGTCACTCAGACAGGTAGTCAGTCAGTCAGTCACTCAGTCAGTCAGTCAGTCACTCACTCACACGCTCACTCAGTCAGTCAGTCACTCAGTCAGTCAGTTAGTTAGTCAGTCACTCACTCACACGCTCACTCACTCAGTGAGAAGTTGACGTTAAACTCTGCGGGGGGAATAAGTCACTCAGTCAGTCAGTCAGTCACTCAGTGAGTCAGTTAGTCAGTCAGTCAGTCACTCAGTTAGTCAGTCAGTCACTCAGTCAGTCACTCAGTCACTCAGTGAGTCAGTCACTCAGTCAGGTAGTCAGTCAGTCACTCACTCACACGCTCACTCAGTCAGTCAGTCACTCAGTCAGTCAGTCAGTTAGTTAGTCACTCACTCACACGCTCACTCACTCAGTCAGTCACTCAGTCAGTCACTCAGTCACTCAGTCAGTCACTCAGTCAGTCACTCAGTCAGTCACTCACTCAGTCACTCAGTCAGTCAGTCACTCAGTCAGTCAGTCACTCAGTCACTCAGTCAGTCACTCAGTCAGTCAGTCACTTAGTCACTCAGTCAGTCACTCAGTGAGTCAGTCAGTGAGTCACTCAGTCACTCAGTCAGTTACTGAGTCACTCGGTCAGTCAGTCAGTCAGTCACTCACTCAGTCAGTCACTCAGTCAATCAGTCAGTCACTCAGTCAGTCACTCAGTCAGTCACTCAGTCAGTCAGTCACTCAGTCAGTCACTCAGTCACTCAGTCAGTCAGTCACTGAGTGAGTCAGTCAGTCAGTCACTCAGTCACTCAGTCAGTCACTGAGTCACTCAGTCACTCAGTCAGTCACTAATGCAGTCACTCAGTCAGTCAATCACTCAGTCAGTCAGTCACTCATTCAGTCACTCAGTCAGTCAGTCACTCATTCAGTCACTCAGTCAGTCAGTCACTCAGTCAGTCAGTCACTCAGTGACTCAGTCAGTCACTCAGTCACTCACTCAGTCAGTCAGTCACTCAGTTAGTTACTCAGTCAGTCACTCAGTCAGTCACTCACTGACTCAGTCAGTCACTCAGTCACTCAGTCAGTCACTCAGTCAGTCACTCAGTCAGTCATTCAGGCATTCACTCACTCAGTCATTCACTCACTCAGTCAGTCACTCAGTCGCTCAGTCAGTCACTCAGTCACTCAGTCAGTCAGTCACTCAGTCATTCACTCACTCAGTCAGTCAGTCACCCACTCACCCACCCACTCACTCACTCACTCACCCACACACTCACCGACTCACCCACTCACTCACTCACCCACCCACCCACTCACTCACTCACCCACTCACTCACACACTCACCCACTCAACCACTCACTCACCCACTCACCCACTCACCCACCCACTCACTCACCCACTCACTCACCCACCCACCCACCCACTCACCCACCCACTCACCCACCCACTCACCCACCCACTCACTCACCCACCCACTCACCCACTCACTCACCCACTCACTCACTCACCCACTCACTCACTCACCCACTCACTCACTCACCCACCCACTCACTCACCCACCCCCTCACCCACCCACCCACCCACTCACCCACTCACCCACCCACTCACCCACTCACTCACCCACCCACTCACCCACTCACTCACCCACTCACTCACTCACCCACCCACTCACTCACCCACCCCCTCACCCACCCACCCACCCACTCACCCACTCACCCACCCACTCACCCACCCACTCACCCACCCACCCACCCACTCACCCACTCACCCACCCACTCACCCACTCACTCACCCACCCACTCACCCACTCACTCACTCACCCAATCACCCACCCACTCACCCACTCACTCACCCACCCACTCACTCACTCACCCACCCACTCACTCACCCACCCACCCACTCACCCACCCACTCACTCACCCACTCACCCACTCACTCACTCACCCACCCACTCACCCACTCACCCACCCACTCACTCACCCACCCACTCACCGGGTATGAAGTATTCGTCATCGCTGTTGAACCACGTGGTGCGGAGGTGAACGCCCCCCCACTGTGACGCCTTCACCGTCACCAAGACAACCAGGTACAGTACGGACAGTGTGCCTGGGGGGGCGGGGCCAGGAGGCACCGAGGGGGAGGGGCCGTGAGCAGGGGGGCGGAGACTTCAGAGTGGTGGTGGTGGTGGTGGTGATGGTGGTGGTGGTGGTGGTGATGGTGGTGGTGGTGATGGTGGTGATGGTGGTGGTGATGGTGGTGGTGATGGTGGTGGTGGTGATGGTGGTGATGGTGGTGGTGGTGATGGTGGTGGTGATGGTGGTGATGGTGGTGATGGTGGTGGTGGTGATGGTGATGGTGGTGGTGATGGTGGTGGTGGTGGTGGTGATGGTGGTGGTGATGGTGGTGGTGATGGTGGTGATGGTGGTGGTGATGGTGGTGGTGATGATGGTGGTGGTGATGGTGGTGATGGTGGTGATGGTGGTGGTGGTGATGGTGGTGGTGATGGTGGTGATGGTGGTGGTGGTGATGGTGGTGATGGTGGTGGTGATGGTGGTGATGGTGGTGGTGGTGATGGTGGTGGTGATGGTGATGATTGTGATGGTGATGGTGGTGGTGGTGATGATGGTGGTGATGGTGGTGGTGATGGTGGTGGTGATGATGGTGGTGGTGATGATGATGGTGGTGGTGGTGGTGATGGTGGTGATGGTGGTGGTGATGGTGGTGGTGATGATGGTGGTGGTGATGATGATGGTGGTGATGGTGGTGGTGGTGATGGTGGTGGTGATGGTGGTGGTGGTGATGGTGGTGATGGTGGTGGTGGTGATGGTGGTGGTGGTGATGGTGGTGGTGGTGGTGATGGTGGTGATGGTGGTGATGGTGGTGGTGGTGATGGTGGTGGTGATGGTGGTGATGGTGGTGATGGTGGTGGTGGTGATGGTGATGGTGGTGGTGATGGTGGTGGTGGTGGTGGTGATGGTGGTGGTGATGGTGGTGGTGATGGTGGTGATGGTGGTGGTGATGGTGGTGGTGATGATGGTGGTGGTGATGGTGGTGATGGTGGTGATGGTGGTGGTGGTGATGGTGGTGGTGATGGTGGTGATGGTGGTGGTGGTGATGGTGGTGATGGTGGTGGTGATGGTGGTGATGGTGGTGGTGGTGATGGTGGTGGTGATGGTGATGATTGTGATGGTGATGGTGGTGGTGGTGATGATGGTGGTGATGGTGGTGGTGATGGTGGTGGTGATGATGGTGGTGGTGATGATGATGGTGGTGGTGGTGGTGATGGTGGTGATGGTGGTGGTGATGGTGGTGGTGATGATGGTGGTGGTGATGATGATGGTGGTGATGGTGGTGGTGGTGATGGTGGTGGTGATGGTGGTGGTGGTGATGGTGGTGATGGTGGTGGTGGTGATGGTGATGGTGGTGGTGATGGTGGTGGTGATGGTGGTGATGGTGGTGGTGATGGTGGTGGTGATGGTGGTGATGGTGGTGATGGTGATGGTGGTGATGGTGATGGTGGTGGTGATGGTGGTGGTGATGGTGGTGATGGTGGTGGTGATGGTGGTGGTGGTGATGGTGATGGTGGTGATGGTGATGGTGGTGATGATGGTAGTGATGGTGATGGTGGTGATGGTGGTGGTGATGGTGGTGGTGATGGTGGTGGTGGTGATGGTGGTGGTGATGGTGGTGGTGATGGTGGTGATGGTGGTGGTGGTGATGGTGGTGATGGTGGTGGTGATGGTGGTGGTGGTGATGGTGGTGATGGTGATGGTGGTCATGGTGATGGTGGTGATGGTGGTGATGGTGGTGGTGATGGTGGTGGTGATGATGGTGGTGATGGTGGTGGTGATGGTGGTGGTGATGGTGGTGATGGTGGTGATGGTGGTGGTGGTGATGGTGGTGATGGTGGTCATGGTGATGGTGGTGATGGTGGTGATGGTGATGGTGGTGGTGATGGTGGTGGTGATGGTGATGATGGTGGTGATGGTGGTGGTGATGGTGGTGATGGTGGTGGTGATGGTGGTGGTGATGGTGGTGGTGATGGTGGTGATGGTGGTGGTGGTGATGGTGATGATGGTGGTGATGGTGGTGATGGTGGTGGTGATGATGGTGGTGGTGATGGTGGTGATGGTGGTGATGGTGGTGGTGGTGATGGTGGTGGTGATGGTGGTGATGGTGGTGGTGGTGATGGTGGTGATGGTGGTGGTGATGGTGGTGATGGTGGTGGTGGTGATGGTGGTGGTGATGGTGATGATTGTGATGGTGATGGTGGTGGTGGTGATGATGGTGGTGATGGTGGTGGTGATGGTGGTGGTGATGATGGTGGTGGTGATGATGATGGTGGTGGTGGTGGTGATGGTGGTGATGGTGGTGGTGATGGTGGTGGTGATGATGGTGGTGGTGATGATGATGGTGGTGATGGTGGTGGTGGTGATGGTGGTGGTGATGGTGGTGGTGGTGATGGTGGTGATGGTGGTGGTGGTGATGGTGATGGTGGTGGTGATGGTGGTGGTGATGGTGGTGATGGTGGTGGTGATGGTGGTGGTGATGGTGGTGATGGTGGTGGTGATGGTGGTGATGGTGATGGTGGTGGTGATGGTGGTGGTGATGGTGGTGATGGTGGTGGTGATGGTGGTGGTGGTGATGGTGATGGTGGTGATGGTGATGGTGGTGATGATGGTAGTGATGGTGATGGTGGTGATGGTGGTGGTGATGGTGGTGGTGATGGTGGTGGTGGTGATGGTGGTGGTGATGGTGGTGGTGATGGTGGTGATGGTGGTGGTGGTGATGGTGGTGATGGTGGTGGTGATGGTGGTGGTGGTGATGGTGGTGATGGTGATGGTGGTCATGGTGATGGTGGTGATGGTGGTGATGGTGGTGGTGATGGTGGTGGTGATGGTGATGGTGGTGGTGATGATGGTGGTGATGGTGGTGGTGATGGTGGTGGTGATGGTGGTGATGGTGGTGATGGTGGTGGTGGTGATGGTGGTGATGGTGGTCATGGTGATGGTGGTGATGGTGGTGATGGTGATGGTGGTGGTGATGGTGGTGGTGATGGTGATGATGGTGGTGATGGTGGTGGTGATGGTGGTGGTGATGGTGGTGGTGCTGATGGTGGTGATGGTGGTGGTGGTGGTGATGGTGGTGATGGTGGTGATGATGGTGGTGATGGTGGTGATGGTAGTGATGGTGGTGGTGGTGATGGTGGTGGTGGTGATGGTGGTGATGGTGATGGTGGTGATGGTGATGATGGTGATGATGGTGATGGTGGTGATGATGGTGATGGTGGTGGTGATGATGATGGTGATGATGGTGATGATGGTGATGATGGTGGTGGTGATGGTGATGATGATGGTGGTGATGGTGGTGATGGTGATGATGGTGGCGATGATGATGATGGTGGTGGTGGTGATGATGATGGTGATGATGGTGGTGATGGTGGTGGTGATGATGATGGTACTGATGATGATACTGATGATGATACTGATGATGATGGTACTGATGATGATGGTGATGATGATACTGATGATGATGATACTGATGATGGTGATGGTGATGATGGTGATGATGGTGGTGGTGATGGTGATGATGATGGTGATGATGGTGATGATGGTGGTGATGGTGATGATGATGATGATGGTGGTGGTGATGGTGGTGGTGATGATGATGGTGATGATGGTGATGATGGTGGTGATGGTGGTGGTGATGGTGATGATGATGGTGGTGATGGTGGTGGTGATGGTGATGATGGTGGTGGTGGTGATGATGATGATGATGGTGGTGATGGTGGTGATGATGGTGATGGTGATGATGGTGGTGATGGTGATGATGATGATGATGGTTGTGATGGTGGTGGTGGTAGTGGTGGTGATGGTTGTGATGGTGATGATGGTGGTGTTGTAGCTACCCAGGATGTTGAATCTTGTAAAGAAGAGTGCTGATTTAAAGTTGAGTAGGGGCATGATGAGCACCACGAGGTACAGTGGCACTGTGATGGTGATGGTGGTGATGGTGATGATGATGGTGGTGGTGGTAGTGATAGTGATTGTGGTACCCAGGATGTTGAATCTCGTAAAGAAGAGTGCTGATTTAAAGTTGAGTAGGGGCATGATGAGCACCACGAGGTACAGAGGCACTGTGATGGTGATGGTGGTAGTGATGATGATGATGGTGGTGATGGTGGTAGTGATAGTGATTGTGGTACCCAGGATGTTGAATCTCGTAAAGAAGAGTGCTGATTTAAAGTTGAGCAGGGGCATGATGAGCACCACGAGGTACAGAGGCACCGTGATGGTGGTGATGATAGTGATGAAGGTGGTGATGGTGGTGGTGGTGGTGGTGATGGTGATGGTGATGAAGGTGGTGATGGTGGTGGTGGTGGTGGTGGTGGTGATGGTGGTGGTGATGGTGATGAAGGTGGTGATGGTGGTGGTGGTGGTGGTGATGGTGATGGTGGTGGTGGTGGTGATGGTGGTGGTGGTGGTGGTGGTGGTGATGGTGATGGTGGTGGTGGTGGTGATGGTGGTGATGGTGGTGGTGGTGGTGGTAGTGGTAGTGATTGTAGCTACCCAGGATGTTGAATCTCGTAAAGAAGAGTGCTGATTTAAAGTTGAGTAGGGGCATGATGAGCACCACGAGGTACAGAGGCACCGTGATGGTGATGGTGGTGGTGGTGATGGTGGTGGTGGTGGTGGTGATGGTGGTGGTGGTGGTGATGGTGATGGTGGTGGTGGTGGTGATGGTGGTGGTGGTGGTGGTGGTGGTGGTGATGGTGATGGTGGTGGTGGTGGTGATGGTGGTGATGGTGGTGGTGGTGGTGGTAGTGGTAGTGATTGTAGCTACCCAGGATGTTGAATCTCGTAAAGAAGAGTGCTGATTTAAAGTTGAGTAGGGGCATGATGAGCACCACGAGGTACAGAGGCACCGTCTCGCGGAGGTTCCAGAGCCGCTCAAAGCTCCACGCGGAGTTCGCTACGGCGAGCACGGCCACTGGGCCTGGATGTCAGGGGTCAACGGTTACAGGTCAGGGGTCAACGGTTGCAGGTCAGGGGTCAACGGTTACAGGTCAGGGGTCAACGGTTGCAGGTCGGGGGTCAACGTTTATGGGTCAGGGGGGCAATGAATCGAGGTCTGGGGTCACGGTTAGAGGCCAGGTTTAGGGGTTAGGGGTCAGGGGCATTGTCAGGGGACATTGTCATTACCATCACCATCACCACCATCATCACCATCACCATTACAACCAACACCACCACCATCACCTCAACCACCACCACCACCACCATCACCTCAACCACCATCACCACCACCATCACCACCATTACCACCACGATCATCATCACCACCATCACCACCACCATCACCACCATCACCACCACCATCACCATCACCACCATCATCACCACCATCACCACCATTACCACCACCATCACCACCATCACTACCATCACCACCACCACCACCATCATCACCAGCATCACCACTACCACCACCATCACCTGTGCTGGTGGTGATGTTGGTGATGTCTCTGACCTCCATGCTGGGCTTCGAGTGGAGACTCCGGCATAGAACTACACAGAGAGACACAGTGACACAGAGACACAGAGAGACAGAGATAGAGAGACACAGAGACACAGAGATAGAGAGACACAGTGACACAGTGACACAGAGACACAGAGACACAGAGACACAGAGACACAGTGACACAGAGACACAGATGTTCATCTTCGGCGCTGGGCTGTAATCCGCCACCACGACCACCAATCCTCGCCTCCGGTTGATGGGAAGGCGAGCCCAAAGTAGCCTGGGGCTTACAGCTTCCCACACCTCACCGCCACGCTCCCACGCCCCCTTCATTCTCTTGTTCAAAAGAAGACCCACACCCTGTTGTTTGGCAGTCTGCTGCCCCGAGTAGAGGACTGTCCACCCCTCATGGTGGCAGGAGCCAGAGCCGGTCCACCGGACCTCCTGAATGCCACGGAGATCCAGGCGGTACCGGTCCAGCTCCCGACAGAGGAGCGGCAGCCTCTCCTCTGCAGTGAGCGTTCGAACATTCCACGTGGCCACCCGTAGTGGCTTTTCGTTGTTTCTGGAGTAGCCCCGAGGGTAGAGATTCAATCTCCTGGCTCCGCCAATTGGGGTTTGGCCAGGAGACGTCATAGACGCCTGGCCCCCCGGGGCCTCCGGCACAAGCTTATTAGTCACACATTTCAGTTTAACTCGTGGTTTCGTGGCAATTAATTGAAGGTGGAGGGGTTACCAGCCCATCGCACCCGTCCAGAGCCCCCGTTTGGCCGCTGTTTTGGTTTGCAGCAGCAGTAGCAGCAGCAGATCACCTCTCCGGCAAGGGTTCGACACCCCGTGTAGACGTCACAGACTGGAACACTTCCAATCTGGACAGGTGAACAGACTGTCGGGGATAGCGACTAGGGAGGCCGGCAGGGCACAGGGAGGGGTGGGTGGCCGGCGCCACGCCCGACCGCCTTTGTCTTCCCGGTGGTGGTAGTGACACAGCGCACCAGGTGATCAATTGAGGCTGAGTCGACCTAGGGGAGGCCCAGGACCGGTTCGGAGAATCGTCACCGAGCGGGAATCGAAATCGGATCGCGAGGTCAGTAGCGCGGTGTAGCGATAAGCACTACCACACTCACACTCATACACACAGTACACACACACAGTACACACACACAGTACACACACAGTACACACACACACAGTACACACAGTACACACACAGTCACACACACAGTACACACACAGTACACACACACACAGTACACACAGTACACACACAGTCACACACACAGTACACACACAGTACACACACACAGTACACACAGTACACACACAGTACACACAGTACACACACACACAGTACACACACACAGTCACACACACAGTACACACACACAGTACACACACACAGTACACACACAGTACACACACACAGTACACACCGTACACACACAGTACACACAGTACACACACAGTACACACAGTACACACACACACACAGTACACACACACAGTACACACAGTACACACACAGTACACACACACAGTACACACACACAGTACACACACACAGTACACACACACAGTACACACACAGTACACACACACACAGTACACACAGTACACACACAGTCACACACACAGTACACACACAGTACACACACACAGTACACACAGTACACACACAGTACACACAGTACACACACACACAGTACACACACACAGTCACACACACAGTACACACACACAGTACACACACACAGTACACACACAGTACACACACACAGTACACACCGTACACACACAGTACACACAGTACACACACAGTACACACAGTACACACACACACAGTACACACACACAGTACACACAGTACACACACAGTACACACACACAGTACACACACACAGTACACACAGTACACACACACAGTATACACACACACAGTACACACACAGTATACACAGTACACACACACAGTACACACACAGTACACACAGTACACACACAGTACACACACAGTACACACACACACAGTACACACACAGTACACACAGTACACACAGTACACACACACAGTACACATAGTACACACACACAGTACACACACAGTACACACACACAGTACACACACAGTACACATAGTACACACACAGTACGCACACACAGTACACACACAGTACACACAGTACACACACAGTACACACAGTACACACACAGTACACACACAGTACACACAGTACACACACAGTACACACAGTACACACAGTACACACACACAGTACACATAGTACACACACACAGTACACACAGTACACACACAGTACACACACACACAGTACACACACAGTACACACACAGTACACATAGTACACACACAGTACGCACACACAGTACACACACAGTACACACAGTACACACAGTACACACACACAGTACACATAGTACACACACACAGTACACATAGTACACACACAGTACACACACAGTACACACACAGTACACATAGTACATACACAGTACGCACACACAGTACACACACAGTACACACAGTACACACACACAGTACACACACAGTACACACAGTACACACACAGTACACATAGTACACACACACAGTACACACACAGTACACACACAGTACACACACACAGTACACACACAGTACACACAGTACACACATACAGTACACACACACACAGTACACACACAGTACACACACACAGTACACACAGTACACACAGTACACACACACAGTACACACACACAGTACACACACAGTACACACACACAGTACACACACACAGTACACACACAGTACACACACACAGTACACACATACAGTACACATACACAGTACACACACACAGTACACACACACAGTACACACACACAGTACACACACACAGTACACACACACACAGTACACACACAGTACACACACACAGTACACACACACAGTACACACAGTACACACACAGTACACACAGTCACACACACACACAGTACACACACAGTACACACACAGTACACACAGTACACACACACAGTACACACACACACAGTACACACACAGTACACACACAGTACACACACACAATACACACACACAGTACACACAGTACACACACACAGTACACACACAGTACACACACACAGTACACACAGTCACACACAGTACACACACACACAGTACACACACACACAGTACACACACACACAGTACACACACAGTACACACAGTACACACACACAGTACACACACAGTACACACAGTACACACAGTACACACATACAGTACACACACACAGTACACACACAGTACACACACACAGTACACACAGTACACACAGTACACACACAGTACACACACACAGTACACACACAGTACACACACACAGTACACACACACAGTACACACACAGTACACACAGTACACACAGTACACACACACAGTACACACACACAGTACACACACAGTACACACACACAGTACACACATACAGTACACATACACAGTACACACACAGTACACACACACAGTACACACACACAGTACACACACACAGTACACACAGTACACACACAGTACACACACAGTACACACACACAGTACACAGTACACACACAGTACACACAGTCACACACACACAGTACACACACAGTACACACAGTACACACACACAGTACACACACACACAGTACACACACACAGTACACACACAGTACACACACACAGTACACACACACAGTACACACACAGTACACACACACACAGTACACACACACACACAGTACACACACAGTACACACAGTACACACACACAGTACACACTCACAGTACACACACAGTACACACAGTACAAACACACAGTACACACACAGTACACACACACACAGTACACACACAGTACACACACACACAGTACACACAGTACACACACAGTACACACACACAGTACACACAGTACACACACAGTACACACACACAGTACACACAGTACACACACAGTACACACAGTACACACACACAGTACACACACAGTACACACACACACAGTACACACACAGTACACACACACAGTACACACAGTACACACACAGTACACACACACAGTACACACACACAGTACACACAGTACACACACAGTACACACACACACAGTACACACACACAGTACACACACAGTACACACACACAGTACACACAGTACACACACAGTACATACACACACAGTACACACACACAGTACACACAGTACACACACAGTACACACACACACAGTACACACACACAGTACACACACAGTACACACACACAGTACACACAGTCACACACACAGTACACACAGTACACACACAGTACACACACACAGTACACACAGTCACACACACAGTACACACACACAGTACACACAGTACACACACAGTACACACACAGTACACACACACACAGTACACACAGTACACACAGTACACACACAGTACACACACACAGTACACACAGTACACACACAGTACACACACATTACACACACACACAGTACACACAGTACACACAGTACACACACAGTACACACACACAGTACACACAGTACACACAGTACACACACAGTACACACACACACAGTACACACAGTACACACAGTACACACACAGTACACACACAGTACACACACACACAGTACACACACAGTACACACACACAGTACACACACAGTACACACACACAGTACACACAGTCACACACACAGTACACACACACACAGTACACACACACAGTACACACACAGTACACACAGTACACACACACAGTACACACACACACACAGTACACACACAGTACACACACACAGTACACACACACACAGTACACACACACAGTGACACACACAGTACACACACAGTACACACAGTACACACACACAGTACACACACACAGTACACACACACAGTACACACACAGTACACACAGTACACACACACAGTACACACACAGTACACACACACAGTACACACACACAGTACACACACAGTACACACACACAGTACACACACAGACACACAGTACACACACAGTACACACACACAGTACACACAGTACACACACACAGTACACACACAGTACACACAGTACACACACAGTACACACACACAGTACACACAGTACACACACACAGTACACACACACAGTACACACAGTACACACAGTACACACACAGTACACACACAGTACACACAGTCACACACACAGTACACACAGTACACACACACACAGTACACACACACACAGTACACACACAGTACACACACAGTACACACACACACAGTACACACACACACACAGTACACACACACAGTACACACACACAGTACACACACAGTACACACACACACAGTACACACACAGTACACACAGTACACACACACTACACACAGTACACACACAGTACACACACAGTACACACAGTACACACACAGTACACACACACAGTACACACACACAGTACACACACAGTACACACACACACAGTACACACACAGTACACACAGTACACACACACTACACACAGTACACACACAGTACACACACAGTACACACACACACAATACACACACAGTACACACAGTACACACACTACACACAGTACACACACAGTACACACACTACACACAGTACACACACAGTACACACAGTACACAGACTCACACAGAGGCGCTCACCTGGCAGGGAGTGATTTCTGAACTCCTCGACAGTTGAGACGTTGAGTCCATGGATCTTATCTGTGAAGAGAGACCCACAGACTCACACAGAGACTCATAGACACTCATAGAGACCCACAGACTCACATAGAGAACCACAGACTCACACAGAGACTCATAGAGACCCATAGACTCACACAGAGACCCACAGACTCACACAGAGACTCATAGACACTTATAGAGACCCACAGACTCACATAGAGACCCACAGACTCACACAGAGACTCATAGACATTCATAGAGACCCACAGACTCACATAGAGAACCACAGACTCACACAGAGACTCATAGAGACCCATAGACTCACACAGAGACCCACAGACTCACACAGAGACTCATAGACACTTATAGAGACCCACAGACTCACATAGAGAACCACAGACTCACACAGAGACTCATAGAGACCCATAGACTCACACAGAGACCCACAGACTCACACAGAGACTCATAGACTCACATAGAGACCCACAGACTCATAGACACTCATAGAGACTCATAGAGACCCACAGACTCATAGACACTCATAGAGACCCATAGAGACCCACAGACTCACACAGAGACTCATAGACACTCATAGAGACCCACAGACTCATAGACACTCATAGAGACTCATAGAGACCCACAGACTCACACAGAGACTTATAGACTCACACAGAGACTCATAGAGACCCACAGACTCACAAAGAGACTTATAGACTCACATAGAGACCCACAGACTCATAGACACTCATAGAGACTCATAGAGACCCACAGACTCACACAGAGACTTATAGACTCACACAGAGACTCATAGAGACCCACAGACTCACAAAGAGACTTATAGACTCACATAGAGACCCACAGACTCATAGACACTCATAGAGACTCATAGAGACCCACAGACTCACACAGAGACTCATAGACTCACACAGAGACTCACAGACTCACACAGAGTCTCATAGACACTCATAGACTCATAGAGACCCATAGACTCACACAGAGACCCACAGACTCACACAGAGACTCATAGACACTTATAGAGACCCACAGACTCACATAGAGAACCACAGACTCACACAGAGACTCATAGAGACCCATAGACTCACACAGAGACCCACAGACTCACACAGAGACTCATAGACTCACATAGAGACCCACAGACTCATAGACACTCATAGAGACTCATAGAGACCCACAGACTCATAGACACTCATAGAGACCCATAGAGACCCACAGACTCACACAGAGACTCATAGACACTCATAGAGACCCACAGACTCATAGACACTCATAGAGACTCATAGAGACCCACAGACTCACACAGAGACTTATAGACTCACACAGAGACTCATAGAGACCCACAGACTCACAAAGAGACTCATAGACTCACATAGAGACCCACAGACTCATAGACACTCATAGAGACTCATAGAGACCCACAGACTCACACAGAGACTCATAGACTCACACAGAGACTCACAGACTCACACAGAGTCTCATAGACACTCATAGACTCATAGAGACCCATAGACTCACACAGAGACCCACAGACTCACACAGAGACTCATAGACACTTATAGAGACCCACAGACTCACATAGAGAACCACAGACTCACACAGAGACTCATAGAGACCCATAGACTCACACAGAGACCCACAGACTCACACAGAGACTCATAGACTCACATAGAGACCCACAGACTCATAGACACTCATAGAGACTCATAGAGACCCACAGACTCATAGACACTCATAGAGACCCATAGAGACCCACAGACTCACACAGAGACTCATAGACACTCATAGAGACCCACAGACTCATAGACACTCATAGAGACTCATAGAGACCCACAGACTCACACAGAGACTTATAGACTCACACAGAGACTCATAGAGACCCACAGACTCACAAAGAGACTCATAGACTCACATAGAGACCCACAGACTCATAGACACTCATAGAGACTCATAGAGACCCACAGACTCACACAGAGACTCATAGACTCACACAGAGACTCACAGACTCACACAGAGTCTCATAGACACTCATAGACTCATAGAGACCCACAGACTCACACAGAGACTCATAGACACTCATAGAGACCCACAGACTCACACAGAGACTCATAGAGACCCATAGACTCATAGAGACCCATAGACTCACACAGAGACTCATAGACTCACACAGAGACTCATAGAGACCCACAGACTCACACAGAGACTCATCGAGACCCATAGACTCATAGAGACCCACAGACTCACACAGAGACTCATAGACTCACACAGAGACTCATAGAGACCCACAGACTCACACAGAGACTCATAGACACTCATAGACTCATAGAGACCCACAGACTCACAAAGAGACTCATAGACTCACATAGAGACCCACAGACTCATAGACACTCATAGAGACTCATAGAGACCCACAGACTCACACAGAGACTCATAGACACTCATAGAGACCCACAGACTCACACAGAGACTCATAGAGACCCACAGACTCACACAGAGACTCATAGACTCACACAGAGACTCATAAAGACCCACAGACTCACACAGAGACTCATAGACATTCATAGAGACCCACAGACTCATAGACACTCATAGAGACTCATAGAGACCCACAGACTCATAGACACTCATAGAGACCCATAGAGACCCATAGACTCATAGAGACCCACAGACTCACACAGAGACTCATAGAGACCCATAGACTCATAGAGACCCACAGACTCACACAGAGACTCATAGACACTCATAGAGACCCAAAGACTCACACAGAGACTTATAGACTCACACAGAGACTCATAGACTCACACAGAGACCCATAGAGACCCACAGACTCACACAGAGACTTATAGACTCACACAGAGACTCATAGACTCACATAGAGACTCATAGAGACCCACAGACTCACACAGAGACTCATAGACTCACATAGAGACTCATAGAGACCCATAGACTCATAGAGACCCACAGACTCACACAGAGACTCATAGACTCACATAGAGACCCACAGACTCATAGACACTCATAGAGACTCATAGAGATCCACAGACTCACACAGAGACTCATAGACACTCATAGAGACCCACAGACTCACATAGAGACTCATAGACACTCATAGACTCATAGAGACCCATAGACTCACATAGAGACCCACAGACTCACACAGATACTCATAGAGACCCACAGACTCACACAGAGACTCATAGAGACCCATAGACTCATAGAGACCCACATACTCACACAGAGACTCATAGACTCACACAGAGACTCATAGAGACCCACAGACTCACACAGACACTCATAGAGACCCACAGACTCACACAGAGACTCATAGACACTCATAGAGACCCACAGACTCACACAGAGACTCATAGACTCACACAGAGACTCATAGAGACCCACAGACTCACACAGAGACTCATAGACTCACATAGAGACCCACAGACTGATAGACACTCATAGAGACTCATAGAGACCCACAGACTCACACAGATACTCATAGACACTCATAGAGACCCACAGACTCACATAGAGACTCATAGACTCACATAGAGACCCACAGACTCATAGACACTCATAGAGACTCATAGAGACCCACAGACTCACACAGAGACTCATAGACACTCATAGAGACCCACAGACTCACACAGAGTCTCATAGACTCACGCAGAGACTCATAGACTCACACAGAGACTCATAGAGACCCACAGACTCACACAGAGACTCATAGAGACCCATAGACTCATAGAGACCCATAGACTCACATAGAGACCCACAGACTCACACAGACACTCATAGAGACCCACAGACTCACACAGAAACTCATAGACACTCATAGACTCATAGAGACCCATAGACTCACAGAGAGACTCACAGACTCACACAGAGACTCATAGGCACTCATAGACTCATAGAGACCCACAGACTCACACAGAGACTCATAGACACTCATAGAGACCCACAGACTCACACAGAGACTCATAGACACTCATAGAGACTCATAGAGACCCCAGACTCACACAGAGACTCATAGAGACCCATAGACTCATAGAGACCCACAGACTCACACAGAGACTCATAGACTCACACAGAGACTCATAGAGACCCACAGACTCACACAGAGACTCATAGACACTCATAGACTCATAGAGACCCATAGACTCACACAGAGACTCACAGACTCACACAGAGACTCATAGACACTCATAGACTCATAGAGACCCACAGACTCACACAGAGACTCATAGACACTCATAGAGACCCACAGACTCACATAGAGACTCATAGACTCACATAGAGACTCACAAACTCACACAGAGACTCATAGAAACCCACAGACTCACATAGTGACTCATAGAGACCCATAGACTCATAGAGACCCACAGACTCACACAGAGACTCATAGACACTCATATAGACCCACAGACTCACACAGAAACTCATAGAGACCCACAGACTCACACAGAGACTCATAGAGACCCACAGACTCACACAGAGACTCATAGACTCACACAGACTCACACAGAGACTCATAGACACTCATAGAGACCCACAGACTCACACAGAGACTCATAGACATTCATAGACTCATAGAGACCCATAGACTCACACAGAGACTCATAGACACTCATAGAGACCCACAGACTCACACAGAGACTCATAGAGACCCACAGACTCACACAGAGACTCATAGACTCACACAGACTCACACAGAGACTCATAGACACTCATAGAGCCCCACAAACTCACACAGAGACTCATAGACACTCATAGAGACCCACAGACTCACACAGAGACTCATAGACTCACACAGAGACTCATAGAGACCCACAGACTCACACAGAGACTCATAGACTCACACAGAGACTCATAGAGACCCACAGACTCACACAGAGACTCATAGACACTCATAGAGACCCACAGACTCACACAGAGACTTATAGACTCACACAGAGACTCATAGACTCACACAGAGACCCTTGGAGACCCACAGACTCACACAGAGACTCATAGACACTCATAGAGACTCATAGACTCACACAGAGACTCATAGACTCACACAGACACCCATAGAGACCCACAGACTCACAGAGAGGCTCATAGACTCACACAGAGACCCACAGACTCACACAGAGCCTCATAGAGACCCACAGACTCACAGAGAGACTCATAGACTCTCATAGAGACCCACAGACTCAAATAGAGACCCACAGACTCACACAGAGACTCATAGACTCACACAGAGACTCATAGAGACCCACAGACTCACACAGACACTCATAGAGACCCACAGACTCACACAGAGACTCATAGACACTCATAGAGACCCACAGACTCACACAGAGACCCATAGACTCACACAGAGACTCATAGAGACCCACAGACTCACACAGAGACTCATAGACTCACATAGAGACCCACAGACTGATAGACACTCATAGAGACTCATAGAGACCCACAGACTCACACAGATACTCATAGACACTCATAGAGACCCACAGACTCACACAGAGACTCATAGACTCACATAGAGACCCACAGACTCATAGACACTCATAGAGACTCATAGAGACCCACAGACTCACACAGAGACTCATAGACACTCATAGAGACCCACAGACTCACACAGAGTCTCATAGACTCACGCAGAGACTCATAGACTCACACAGAGACTCATAGAGACCCACAGACTCACACAGAGACTCATAGAGACCCATAGACTCATAGAGACCCATAGACTCACATAGAGACCCACAGACTCACACAGACACTCATAGAGACCCACAGACTCACACAGAAACTCATAGACACTCATAGACTCATAGAGACCCATAGACTCACAGAGAGACTCACAGACTCACACAGAGACTCATAGGCACTCATAGACTCATAGAGACCCACAGACTCACACAGAGACTCATAGACACTCATAGAGACCCACAGACTCACACAGAGACTCATAGACACTCATAGAGACTCATAGAGACCCCAGACTCACACAGAGACTCATAGAGACCCATAGACTCATAGAGACCCACAGACTCACACAGAGACTCATAGACTCACACAGAGACTCATAGAGACCCACAGACTCACACAGAGACTCATAGACACTCATAGACTCATAGAGACCCATAGACTCACACAGAGACTCACAGACTCACACAGAGACTCATAGACACTCATAGACTCATAGAGACCCACAGACTCACACAGAGACTCATAGACACTCATAGAGACCCACAGACTCACATAGAGACTCATAGACTCACATAGAGACTCACAAACTCACACAGAGACTCATAGAAACCCACAGACTCACATAGTGACTCATAGAGACCCATAGACTCATAGAGACCCACAGACTCACACAGAGACTCATAGACACTCATATAGACCCACAGACTCACACAGAAACTCATAGAGACCCACAGACTCACACAGAGACTCATAGAGACCCACAGACTCACACAGAGACTCATAGACTCACACAGACTCACACAGAGACTCATAGACACTCATAGAGACCCACAGACTCACACAGAGACTCATAGACATTCATAGACTCATAGAGACCCATAGACTCACACAGAGACTCATAGACACTCATAGAGACCCACAGACTCACACAGAGACTCATAGAGACCCACAGACTCACACAGAGACTCATAGACTCACACAGACTCACACAGAGACTCATAGACACTCATAGAGCCCCACAAACTCACACAGAGACTCATAGACACTCATAGAGACCCACAGACTCACACAGAGACTCATAGACTCACACAGAGACTCATAGAGACCCACAGACTCACACAGAGACTCATAGACTCACACAGAGACTCATAGAGACCCACAGACTCACACAGAGACTCATAGACACTCATAGAGACCCACAGACTCACACAGAGACTTATAGACTCACACAGAGACTCATAGACTCACACAGAGACCCTTGGAGACCCACAGACTCACACAGAGACTCATAGACACTCATAGAGACTCATAGACTCACACAGAGACTCATAGACTCACACAGACACCCATAGAGACCCACAGACTCACAGAGTGGCTCATAGACTCACACAGAGACCCACAGACTCACACAGAGCCTCATAGAGACCCACAGACTCACAGAGAGACTCATAGACTCTCATAGAGACCCACAGACTCAAATAGAGACCCACAGACTCACACAGAGACTCATAGACTCACACAGAGACTCATAGAGACCCACAGACTCACACAGAGACTCATAGACTCTCATAGAGATTCACAGACTCACACAGAGACTCATAGACTCACACAGAGACTCATAGAGACCCACAGACTTACACATAGACTCATAGACTCACACAAAGACTCATAGACTCACACAGAGACTCATAGAAACCCACAGACTCACACAGAGACTCATAGACTCACATAGAGACCCACAGACTCACTACACAGAGACCCACAGACTCACCACACAGAGACCCACAGACTCACCACACAGAGACCCACAGACTCACCACACAGAGACCCATAGACTCACCACACAGAGACCCACCACACAGAGACCCATAGTGTGAATGAGTGAATAAGTGAGTAAGTGAGCGAGCGAGTGAGTGCATGAATGAGTGATTGAGTGAATAAGTGGGTGAGTGAGTGGGTGAGTGGGTGAGTGAGTGAGTGGGTGAGTGCGTGAATGAGTGAGTGAATGAGTGAGTGAGTGAGCGAGTGAGTGTGTGAGCGAGTGAATGAGTGAGTGAGTGAATGAGTGAACGAGCGAGTGAATGAGTGAGTGAGCGAGTGTGTGAGCGAGTGTGTGAGCGAGTGAGTGAATGAATAAGTGGGTGAGTGAGTAGGTGAGTGAGTGAGTGAGTGAATGAGTGATTGAGTGAATGAGTGAGTGAGTGAGCGAGTGAATGAGTGTGTGAGTGAGTGAGTGGGTGAGTGAGCGAGTGAATGAGTGAATGAGTGTGTGAGTGAGTGAGTGGGTGAGTGAGCGAGTGAATGAGTGAATGAGCGAGTGAGTGTGTGAGTGAGTGTATGAGTGAGTGAGTGAATGAGTGATTGAGTGTATGAGTGAGTGGTGAGTGAGTGTGTGAGTGAGTGTATGAGTGTATGAGTGAGTGAGTAAATGAGTGATTGAGTGAATGAGCGAGTGAGTGTGTGAGTGAGTGAGTGTATGAGTGAGTGAGTGTACGAGTGAGTGAGTGAATGAGCGAGTGAATGAGTGAGTCAATGAGTGAGTGTGTGAGTGAGCGAGTGAATGAGTGAGTGAGTGTATGAGTGAGTGAGTGTATGAGTGAGTGAGTGAGCGAGTGAGTGAGTGAGCGAGTGAGTGAGTGAGCGAGTGGGTGAGTGAGCGAGTGAATGAGTGAGTGAGTGTATGAGTGAGTGAGTGAATGAGTGAATGAGTGAGTGAGTGTATGAGTGAGTGAGTGAGTGAATGAGTGAGTGAGTGTATGAGTAAGTGAGTGAGTGTACGAGTGAGTGAGTGAGTGAAGGAGTGAATGAGCGAGTGAGTGAATGAGTGATTGAGTGAATGAGTGTATGAGTGAGTGAGTGTATGAGTTAGTAAGTGTACGAGTGAGTGAATGAGTGAATGAGTGATTGAGTGAATGAGTGTATGAGTGAGTGAGTGTATGAGTGAGTGAGTGATTGTATGAGTGAGTGAGTGTACGAGTGAGTGAGTGAGTGTACGAGTGAGTGAGTGGGTGAGTGAGCGAGTGAATGAGTGAATGAGCGAGTGAGTGTGTGAGTGAGTGAGTGTATGAGCGAGTGAGTGTGTGAGTGAGTGAGTGTATGAGTGTACGAGTGAGTGAGTGTACGAGTGAGTGAGTGATTGAGTGAATGAGTGAATGAGTGATTGAGTGAATGAGTGAATGAGTGAGTGAGCGAGTGAATGAGTGTATGAGTGAGTGAGTGACTGAGTGAATGAGTGACTGAGTGAATGAGTGAGCGAGTGAACGAGCGAGTGAACGAGCGAGTGAGTGCGTGAGCGAGCGAGTGAACGAGCGAGCGAGCGAGTGAACGAGCGAGCGAACGAGCGAGTGAAGGACTCACGGTGAAGGAAAACCCCCGTGTTGTATAGGAAGTTGCTCATGAGCACCCAGTAGATGATGATGGCTCCGCCCAGCGCTGTCATGGAGAAGGCGAGGCAGAGGACGCGACCCGCACGGCCGAAGTAGTGGTGGCAGACATCGGGGTAGTCCAAGCCACAGCCCACGGGGCCCTCTGCCGGGCCACGAGACTCCACTTACACACAGTCTCGTCTTACACACACACTACACTTACACACACACACACTACACTTACACACAGTCTACACTTACACACAGTCTACACTTACACACACACACTAGGCTTACACACATACACTCCACTTACACAGTCTCCACTTACACACACACACTAGGCTCACTCCACTTACACACACTCCACTTACACACACACACACCACTTACACACAGTCTCCACTTACACTCCACTTACACACACTCCACTTACACACACAGTCTCCACTTACACACACTCCACTTACACACAGTCTCCACTTACACACACTCCACTTACACACAGTCCACTTACACACACACACACACTCACTCCACTTACACACACTCCACTTACACACAGTCTACACTTACACACAGTCCACTTACACACACTACACTTACACACAGTCTCAACTTACACTCACACTAGGCTCACTCCACTTACACACACTCCACTTACACACAGTCTACACTTACACTCACACACTCACACTCCACTTACACAGTCTACACTTACACACAGTCTCAACTTACACACACACACTATACTTACACACACACTCACTTACACACAGTCTACACTTACACACACACACTAGGCTCACTCCACTTACACACACTACACTTACACACAGTCTCAACTTACACACACACACTATACTTACACACACACTCACTTACACACAGTCTACACTTACACACACACACTAGGCTCACTCCACTTACACACACTACACTTACACACAGTCTCAACTTACACTCCACGTACACACACTCCACGTACACACACTCCACTTACACACAGTCTCCACTTACACACAGTCTCAACTTACACACACACACTCACACTCCACTTACACACACTCCACTTACACACAGTCTCCACTTACACACACACACTACACTTACACACACACACACTCCACTTACACACACTACACTTACACACAGTCTACACTTACACACAGTCTACACTTACACACACACACTAGGCTTACTCCACTTACACACACTCCACTTACACACAGTCTACACTTACACACACACACTAGGCTTACTCCACTTACACACACTCCACTTACACACAGTCTACACTTACACACACACACTACACTTACACTCACACTACACTTACACACACTACACTTACACACACACTACACTTACACACACACTCCACTTACACACACTCCACTTACACACACTCCACTTACACACACTACACTTACACACACACTACACTTACACACACACTACACTCACTCCACTTACACACACTCTCCACTTACACTCACACTCCACTTACACACACTCCACTTACACACACACTCCACTTACACACACACACACTCCACTTACACACACACTACACTTACACACACACACACTCCACTTACACACACTCCACTTACACACACTCCACTTACACACACACTACACTTACACACACACTACACTTACACACACACTACACTTACACACACACACTTACACAGTCTCCACTTACACACACACACTCCACTTACACACACTCCACTTACACACACACTCCACTTACACACAGTCCACTTACACACAGTCCACTTACACACAGTCTCGTCTTACACACACACACACTCCACTTACACACACTCCACTTACACACACTCCACTTACACACACACTCCACTTACACACAGTCCACTTACACACAGTCTACACTTACACACTCACACTCCACTTACACACAGTCTCCACTTACACACACACTCCACTTACACACACTCCACTTACACACAGTCTCCACTTACACACACTCCACGTACACACAGTCTCCACTTACACACACTCCACTTACACACAGTCCACTTACACACACACACACTCACTCCACTTACACACACCCCACTTACACACACTCTCCACTTACACACACACACACCACTTACACACAGTCTCCACTTACACACAGTCTCCACTTACACACACTCCACTTACACACACCCTACACTTACACACAGTTCACTTACACTCCACTTACACACAGTCTCCACTTACACACACTCCACTTACACACACACCACACACACACACTCCACTTACACACACACACTCCACTTACACAGTCTCCACTTACACACACACACAGTCCACTTACACACAGTCTCCACTTACACACACACACACTCCACTTACACGCACTCCACTTACACACTCTCCACTTACACACACTACACTTACACAGTTTCCACTTACACACACACTCCACTTACACACACTCCACTTACACACTCTCCACTTACACACACTCCACTTACACACACACCACACACACACACTCCACTTACACACACACACTCCACTTACACACACTCTCCACTTACACACAGTCTCCACTTACACTCCACTTACACACTCTCCACTTACACACACACCACTTACACACACACACAGTCTCCACTTACACTCCACTTACACACACACAGTCCACTTACACACACACACTCGACTTACACACACTCCACTTACACTCAATGGGTGAGGGAGTGGGTCAGTGAGTGAGGGAGTGGGTGAGTGAGTGAGTGAATGAGTGGGTGGGTGAGTGGGTGAGTGGGTGGTGAGTGAGTGAGTGGGTGAGTGGGTGAGTGAGTGGGTGAGTTGGTGAGTGAGTGAGTGAATGAGTGGGTGGGTGAGTGAGTGAATGGGTGAGTGAGTGAGTGAGTTGGTGAGTGAGTGGGTGAGTGGTTGAGTGAGTGAGTGGGTGAGTGAGTGAGTGAGTGGGTGAGTGAGTGAGTGAGTGGGTGAGTGAGTGGGTGAGTGAGTGAGTGGGTGAGTGAGTGGGTGAGTTGGTGAGTGAGTGGGTGAGTGAGTGGGTGAGTGAGTGGGTGAGTGGGTGAGTGAGTGGGTGAGTGAGTGAGTCGGTGAGTTGGTGAGTGAGTGGGTGAGTGGGTGGGTGAGTGAGTGAGTGGGTGAGTGGGTGGGTGAGTGGGTGAGTGGGTGAGTGGGTGGGTGAGTGGGTGAGTGGGTGGGTGAGTGAGTGAGTGGGTGGGTGAGTGGGTGAGTGGGTGAGTGAGTGGGTGAGTGGGTGGGTGAGTGGGTGAGTGGGTGGGTGAGTGGGTGAGTGGGTGAGTGAGATTCTCACCAATTGTACTGGGTGAGTTGAGAATGCGGTAACAGCTGTAGAGGGCCAGGAACCCCATGGAGATCATCATGAGGACTCCCAGCGTCAGCCCAGCCTGAGACACGGGGAGACAGAGACACGGGGAGAGAGAGAGACACGGGGAGAGAGACACGGGGAGAGACACGGTGAGAGAGAGACACGGGGAGAGAGACACGGGGAGAGAGAGACATGCGGTGAGAGAGAGACACGGGGAGAGAGACACGGAGAGAGACACGGTGAGAGGGAGAGATACGGGGAGAGAGACACGGGGAGAGAGAGAGACACGGGGAGAGAGACACGGGGAGAGAGAGACACGGGGAGAGAGACATGCGGTGAGACACGGTGAGAGAGAGAGAGACACGGGGAGAGAGAGAGACACGGGGAGCGAGACACGGGGAGAGTGACATGGGGTGAGAGAGAGAGACACGGGGAGAGAGACACGGAGAGAGACACGGTGAGAGAGAGAGACACGGGGAGAGAGAGAGACACGGGGAGAGAGACACGGAGATACACGGTGAGAGAGAGAGAGACACGGTGAGAGAGAGAGACACGGTGAGAGAGAGAGACACGGGGAGAGAGAGAGACACGGGGAGAGAGACACGGAGAGAGACACGGAGAGAGACACGGAGAGAGAGAGAGACACGGGGAGAGAGACACCGGGTGAGAGAGAGACACGGGGAGAGAGAGAGACACGGGGAGAAAGACACGGGGAGAAAGACACGGTGAGAGAGAGAGACACGGGGAGAGAGAGAGAGAGACACGGGGAGAGAGAGAGACACGGGGAGAAAGACACGGGGAGAGAGGCACGGTGAGAGAGAGAGAGAGACACGGGGAGAGAGACACGGGGAGAGAGACACGGGGAGAGAGACACGGGGAGAGAGACACGGGGAGAGAGACACGGGGTGTGTGTACTGTGTGTGTGTCACTGTGTGTCTCACTGTGTGTGTGTATGTGTACTGTGTGTACTGTGTATGTGTGTGTATGTGTGTACTGTGTGTGTATGTGTGTGTGTATGTGTGTGTGTGTACTGTGTATGTGTGTATGTGTGTGTGTGTACTGTGTGTGTGTGTGTATGTGTGTGTGTATGTGTGAATGTGTGTGTGAATGTGTGTGTGAATGTGTGTGTCTGTGTGTGTATGTGTGTGTATGTGTGTGTGTGTACTGTGTATGTGTGTGTGAATGTGTGTGTAGTGTGTGTGTATGTGTGTGTGTCTGTGTGTGTATGTGTGTGTATGTGTGTGTGTGTACTGTGTATGTGTGTGTGAATGTGTGTGTACTGTGTGTGTGTATGTGTGTGTGTCTGTGTGTCTGTGTCTCCTGACCTGTGTCAAAGCCCAGGGCATGCTCAGGATGGAGGTTCCCATCATCGTGTTCCAGATCGCGAATCTGTGACATAATCAGTGACACAGTCAGTGACACAGTGACAGTCAGTGACACACACACACAGTGACACACACAGTGACACACACACACAGTGACACACACAGTGACACACACACACACAGTGACACACACAGTGACACACACACAGTGACACACACACACAGACACACACACAGACACAAAGATAACAAAGACAAAGATCCCCCATATAGCCTGTAACAGACTGTAGGGGCAAGTGCTGTTAGCGAGCACCTATGAAGGCCGGAACGGTACACGAGGGGGTGGGTGGCCAGCACCACGCCCGACCGCCTTTGTCTCCCTAGTGGCGATGTTTACACACCGCACCAGGTACTCATTTGAGGCTGAGTCGACCTAGGGGAGGCCCGGGACCGGTTCAGATAATCGTCACTGGTGTTGGCCGTGAGCGGGAATCGAACCCGGGTCGCCAGGTTCATAGCGCAGCGTAGCGCTAACCACTACACTATCACTACACACATACAGTGACACACACAGACACAGTCACACACACAGTGACACACACAGTGACACACACACAGTGACACACACAGTGACACACACACAGTGACACACACACACAGTGACACACACAGTGACACACAGTGACACACACAGTGACACACACAGTGACACATACACACAGTGACACACACAGTGACACACACACAGTGACACACACACTGACACACACACAGTGACACACACACACAGTGACACACACACAGTGACACACACAGTGACACACACACAATGACACACACAGTGACACACACACACACAGTGACACAGTGACACAATCAGTGACACAGTCAGTGACACAGTGACACAATCAGTGACACAATCAGTGACACAGTGACACAGTCAGTGACACAGTGACACAATCAGTGACACAGTGACACAGTGACACATTGACACAGTCAGTGACACAGTGACACAGTCAGTGACACAGTGATACAGTCAGTGACACAGTGACACAGTCAGTGACACAGTGACACAGTCAGTGACACAGTGACACAGTGACACAGTGACACAGTCAGTGACACAGTGACACAGTCAGTGACACAGACAGTCACACAGTTACACAGTGACACAGTCAGTGACACAGTGACACAGTGACACAGTCAGTGACACAGTGACACAGTCAGTGACACAGTGACACAGTGACACCGTGACACAGTCAGTGACACAGTGACACAGTCAGTGACACAGTGACACAGTGACACAGTCAGTGACACAGTGACACAGTCAGTGACACAGTGACACAGTGACACAGTGACACAGTCAGTGACACAGTGACACAGTGACACAGTGACACAGTCAGTGACACAGTGACACAGTGACACAGTCAGTGACACAGTGACACAGTGACACAGTCAGTGACACAGTGACACAGTGACACAGTCAGTGACACAGTGACACAGTCAGTGACACAGTGACACAGTGACACAGACAGTGACACAGTGACACAGTGACACAGTGACACAGTCAGTGACACAGTGACACAGTGACACAGTGACACAGTCAGTGACACAGTGACACAGTGACACAGTGACACAGACAGTGACACAGTGACACAGACAGTGACACAGTCAGTGACACAGTGACACAATCAGTGACACAGTGACAAAGTGACACAGTGACACAGTCAGTGACACAGTGACACAGTTACAGAGTGACACAGTCAGTGACACAGTGACACAGTCAGTGACACAGTCAGTGACACAGTTACACAGTGACACAGTGACACATTGACACAGTCAGTGACACAGTGACACAGTCAGTGACACAGTCAGTGATACAGTGACACAGTCAGTGCCACAGTGACACAGTGACACAGTCAGTGACACAGTCAGTGACACAGTGACACAGTCAGTGACACAGTCAGTGACACAGTGACACAGTCAGTGACACAGTGACACAGTGACACAGTGACACAGACAGTGACACAGTGACACAGTGACACAGTCAGTGACACAGTGACACAGTGACACAGTCAGTGACACAGTTAGTGACACGGTCAATGACACAGTGACACAGTGACACAGTCAGTGACACAGTCAGTGACACAGTGACACAGTGACACAGTCAGTGACACAGTGACACAGTGACACAGTCAGTGACACAGTGACACAGTGACACAGTCAGTGACACAGTGACACAGTGACACAGTCAGTGACACAGTGACACAGTGACACAGTGACACAGTCAGTGACACAGTGACACAGTCAGTGACACAGTGACACAGTGACACAGTGACACGGTCAATGACACAGTGACACAGTGACACAGTCAGTGACACAGTGACACAGTGAGTGACACAGTCAGTGACACAGTGACACAGTCAGTGACACAGTCAGTGACACAGTGACACAGTGACACATTGACACAGTGACACAGTCAGTGACACAGTCAGTGACACAGTGACACAGTCAGTGACACAGTCAGTGACACAGTGACACAGTGACACAGTCAGTGACACAGTGACACAGTCACACAGTCAGTGACACAGTGACACAGTGACACAGTGACACAGTCAGTGACACAGTGACACAGTCAGTGACACAGTGACACAGTGACACAGTCAGTGACACAGTGACGCAGTGACACACACAGTGACACAGTCAGTGACACAGTGACACAGTGACACACACAGTGACACAGTGACACAGTCAGTGACACAGTGACACAGTCAGTGACACAGTGACACAGTGACACGGTCAATGACACAGTGACACAGTCAGTGACACAGTGACACAGTGACACAGTGAGTGACACAGTCAGTGACACAGTGACACAGTCAGTGACACAGTCAGTGACACAGTGACACAGTGACACAGTGACACAGTCAGTGACACAGTGACACAGTCAGTGACACAGTGACACAGTGACACAGTCAGTGACACAGTGACATAGTGACACAATCAGTGACACAATCAGTGACACAGAGACACAGTGAAACAGTCAGTGACACAGTCAGTGACACAGTGACACAGTGACACAGTGACACAGTCAATGACACAGTGACACAGTGACACAATCAGTGACACAATCAGTGACACAGTGACACAGAGACACAGTGACACAGTCAATGACACAGTGACACAGTCAGTGACACAGTGACGCAGTGACACACACAGTGACACAGTCAGTGACACAGTGACACAGTCAGTGACACAGTCAGTGACACAGTGACACAGTGACACAGTCAGTGACACAGTGACACAGTCAGTGACACAGTCAGTGATAAAGTGACACAGTGAGTGAGTGAGTGGGTAAACATGGTAACCATGGTAACGGTGATGGTACCTAAATGGCAACCATGGCAACAGTGATGGTACCTACATGGCAACCATGGCAACAGTGATGATGCCTACACGGTAACCATGGCAACGGCGATGGCACATACATGGTAACCGTGGCAACGGCGATGGCGCCTACATGGTAACCATGGCAACAGTGATGTTACCTGCATGGTACCCATGGCAACAGCGATGGCACCTACATGGTAACCACGGCAACGGCGATGGTACCCACATGGTAACCATGGCAACGGTGATGGTACCTACATGGTAACCATGGCAACGGTGATGGTACCTACACGGTAACCATGGCAAAGGTGATGGAGCCTACATGGTAACCATGGCAACAGTGATGGCGCCTGCATGGTGACCATGGCGACAGTGATGGTACCTACATGGTAACCATGGCAACAGTGATGGTACCTACATGGTAACCATGGCAACAGTGATGGTACCTGCATGGTAACCATGGCAACAGTGATGGCGCCTGCATGGTAATCATGGCAACAGTGATGGTACCTACATGGTAACCATGGCAACAGTGATGGTGCCTACATGGTAACCATGGCAACAGTGATGGCACCTACATGGTAACCATGGCAACGGTGATGGTACCTACATGTAACCATGGCAACGGTGATGGTACCTACATGGTGACAGTGATGGTACCTACATGGTAACCATGGCAACGGTGATGGTACCTACATGGTGACAGTGATGGTACCTACATGGTAACCATGGCAACAGCGATGGTACCTACATGGTGACAATGATGGCACCTACATGGTAACCATGGCAACGGTGATGGTACCTACATGGTAACCATGGCAACGGTGATGGTACCTGGATGGTAACCATGGCAACGGTGATGGTACCTACATGGTAACCATGGCAACAGTGATGGTACCTGGATGGTGATCATGGCAACAGTGATGGTACCTACATGGTGACAGTGATGGTACCTACATGATAACCATGGCAACGGTGATGGTACCTACATGGTAACCATGGCAACGGTGATGGTACCTGCATGGTAACCATGGCAACGGTGATGGTACCTACATGGTAACCATGGCAACGGTGATGGTACCTACATGGTAACGATGGCAACAGTGATGGTACCTGCATGGTAACCATGGCAACGGTGATGGTACCTGCATGGTAACCATGGCAACGGTGATGGTACCTACATGGTAACCATGGCAACAGTGATGGTACCTACATGGTAACCATGGCAACAGTGATGGTACCTACATGGTAACGATGCTTGGCTGCTTCCCAGCGGTGTCGGACATCTTGAAGATTCTCGTTCTGTGGCACAGAGCGGAGAGTCGCTCACTGAGTCACCCTCTGACTCACTCAGTGAGTCACTCACTGAGTCACCCCCTGAGTCACCCCCTGAGTCACCCAGTGAGTCACCCAGTGAGTCACCCCCTGAGTCACCCTCTAGTCACTCACTGAGTCACTCAGTGAGTGACTCAGTGAGTCACTCAGTGAGTCACCCCCTGAGTCACTCACTGAGTCACTCACTGAGTCACCCCCTGAGTCACCCAGTGAGTCACCCAGTGAGTCACCCAGTGAGTCACCCCCTGAGTCACCCTCTAGTCACTCACTGAGTCACTCAGTGAGTGACTCAGAGGGTGACTCAGTGAGTCACCCAGTGAGTCACCCTCTGAGTCACCCTCTGACTCACCCCCTGAGTCACTCAGTGAGTCACCCTCTGAGTCACCCTCTGAGTCACCCTCTAGTCACTCACTGAGTCACTCACTGAGTCACTCACTGAGTCACTCAGTGAGTCACCCTCTGAGTCACCCAGTGAGTCACTCAGTGAGTCACTCAGTGAGTCACCCTCTGAGTCACCCTCTAGTCACTCACTGAGTCACTCAGTGAGTCACTCAGTGAGTCACTCAGTGAGTCACCCTCTGAGTCACTCAGTGAGTCACCCTCTGAGTCACCCTCTAGTCACTCACTGAGTCACTCAGTGAGTGACTCAGAGGGTGACTCAGTGAGTCACCCAGTGAGTCACCCTCTGAGTCACCCTCTAGTCACTCACTGAGTCACTCAGTGAGTGACTCAGAGGGTGACTCACTGAGTCACCCAGTGAGTCACTCAGTGAGTCACTCAGTGAGTCACCCAGTGAGTCACCCCCTGAGTCACCCTCTGAGTCACCCTCTGAGTCACCCTCTAGTCACTCACTGAGTCACTCAGTGAGTGACTCAGAGGGTGACTCAGTGAGTCACCCTCTGAGTCACTCAGTGAGTCACCCTCTGACTCACCCTCTGAGTCACTCAGTGAGTCACCCTCTGAGTCACTCAGTGAGTCACCCTCTGACTCACCCTCTGAGTCACCCTCTGAGTCACTCACTGAGTCACCCTCTGAGTCACCCTCTGAGTCACCCTCTGACTCACCCTCTGAGTCACCCTCTGAGTCACCCTCTAGTCACTCACTGAGTCACTCAGTGAGTGACTCAGAGGGTGACTCAGTGAGTCACCCTCTGAGTCACCCTCTGAGTCACCCTCTGAGTCACTCAGTGAGTCACCCTCTGAGTCACCCTCTGAGTCACTCACTGAGTCACTCAGTGAGTCACCCTCTGAGTCACCCTCTGAGTCACTCAGTGAGTCACCCTCTGAGTCACCCTCTGAGTCACCCTCTGAGTCACCCTCTAGTCACTCACTGAGTCACTCAGTGAGTGACTCAGAGGGTGACTCACTGAGTCACCCAGTGAGTCACTCAGTGAGTCACCCTCTGAGTCACCCTCTAGTCACTCACTGAGTCACTCACTGAGTCACTCAGTGAGTGACTCAGAGGGTGACTCAGTGAGTCACCCAGTGAGTCACTCAGTGAGTCACCCTCTGAGTCACCCTCTGAGTCACCCTCTAGTCACTCACTGAGTCACTCAGTGAGTGACTCACTGGGTGACTCAGTGAGTCACCCAGTGAGTCACTCAGTGAGTCACCCAGTGAGTCACCCAGTGAGTCACTCAGTGAGTCACTCAGTGAGTCACCCAGTGAGTCACCCCCTGAGTCACCCTCTGAATCACCCAGTGAGTCACTCAGGGGGTGACTCAGTGAGTCACCCCCTGAGTCACCCACTCAGTCACCCAGTGAGTCACTCAGTGAGTCACTCAGTGAGTCACCCAGTGAGTCACCCAGTGAGTGAGTCACTCAGTGAGTCACTCAGTGAGTCACTCAGTGAGTCACCCCCTGAGTCACCCCCTGAGTCACCCTCTGAGTCACCCAGTGAGTGACTCACTGAGTCACTCACTGAGTCACCCTCTGAGTCACTCACTGAGTCACTCACTGAGTCACCCCCTCAGTCACTCACTGAGTCACTAACTGAGTCACCCACTGAGTCACCCACTGAGTCACCCTCTGAGTCACTCACTGAATCACTCACTGAGTCACCCACTGAATCACTCACTGAGTCACTCACTGAGTCACCCTCTGAGTCACTCACTGAGTCACTCACTGAGTCACCCTCTGAGTCACTCACTGAGTCACTCACTGAGTCACCCTCTGAGTCACTCACTGAGTCACTCACTGAGTCACTCACTGAGTCACCCTTTGAGTCACCCTCTTAGTCACTCACTGAGTCACTCACTGAGTCACCCAGTGAGTCACTCACTGAGTCACTCACTGAGTCACCCAGTGACTCACTGAGTCACTCACTGAGTCACCCTCTGAGTCACTCACTGAGTTACTCACTGAGTCACTCACTGAGTCACCCTCTGAGTCACCCTCTGAGTCACTCACTGAGTCACTCACTGAGTCACCCTCTGAGTCACTCACTGAGTCACCCTCTGAGTCACTCACTGTGTCACTCACTGAGTCACCCGCTGAGTCACCCTCTGAGTCACTCACTGAGTCACCCTCTGAGTCACTCACTGAGTCACTCACTGAGTCACCCTCTGAGTCACTCACTGTGTCACTCACTGAGTCACCCTCTGAGTCACTCACTGAGTCACCCCCTGAGTCACCCTCTGAGTCACTCACTGAGTCACTCACTGAGTCACCCTCTGAGTCACCCTCTGAGTCACCCCCTGAGTCACTCACTGAGTCACTCACTGAGTCACCCTCTGAGTCACCCCCTGAGTCACTCACTGAGTCACCCTTTGAGTCACCCTCTGAGTCACTCACTGAGTCACCCTCTGAGTCACTCACTGAGTCACTCACTTAGTCACCCACTGAGTCACTCACTGAGTCACTCACTGAGTCACCCTCTTAGTCACCCTCTGAGTCACCCCCTGAGTCACTCACTGAGTCACTCACTGAGTCACCCTTTGAGTCACCCTCTTAATCACTCACTGAGTCACTCACTGAGTCACCCAGTGAGTCACTCACTGAGTCACCCACTGAGTCACTCACTGAGTCACCCCTGAGTCACTCACTGAGTCACCCACTGAGTCACTCTCTGAGTCACTCACTGAGTCACCCAGTGAGTCACTCACTGAGTCACCCACTGAGTCACTCACTGAGTCACCCCTGAGTCACTCACTGAGTCACCCTCTGAGTCACTCACTGAGTCACTCACTGAGTCACCCTCTGAGTCACCCTCTGAGTCACCCCCTGAGTCACTCACTGAGTCACTCACTGAGTCACCCTTTGAGTCACCCTCTTAATCACTCCCTGAGTCACTCACTGAGTCACCCAGTGAGTCACTCACTGAGTCACCCACTTAGTCACTCACTGAGTCACCCCTGAGTCACTCACTGAGTCACCCACTGAGTCACTCTCTGAGTCACTCACTGAGTCACCCAGTGAGTCACTCACTGAGTCACCCACTGAGTCACTCACTGAGTCACCCCTGAGTCACTCACTGAGTCACCCTCTGAGTCACCCCCTGAGTCACTCACTGAGTCACCCAGTGAGTCACTCATTGAGTCACCCACTGAGTCACTCACTGAGTCACCCTCTGAGTCACTCACTGAGTCACCCTCTGAGTCACTCACTGTGTCACTCACTGAGTCACCCTCTGAGTCACTCACTGAGTCACCCCCTGAGTCACCCTCTGAGTCACTCACTGAGTCACTCACTGAGTCACCCTCTGAGTCACCCTCTGAGTCACCCCTGAGTCACTCACTGAGTCACTCACTGAGTCACCCTCTGAGTCACCCCCTGAGTCACTCACTGAGTCACCCTTTGAGTCACCCTCTGAGTCACCCAGTGAGTCACTCACTGAGTCACCCCTGAGTCACTCACTGAGTCACCCACTGAGTCACTCACTGAGTCACCCACTGAGTCACTCATTGTGTCACTCACTGAGTCACCCTCTGAGTCACTCACTGAGTCACTCACTGAGTCACTCACTGAGTCACCCTCTGAGTCACCCTCTGAGTCATCCCCTGAGTCACTCACTGAGTCACTCACTGAGTCACTCACTGAGTCACTCACTGAGTCACCCACTGAGTCACTCACTGAGTCACCCCTGAGTCACTCACTGAGTCACCCTCTGAGTCACTCACTGAGTCACTCACTGAGTCACCCTCTGAGTCACCCTCTGAGTCACCCCCTGAGTCACTCACTGAGTCACTCACTGAGTCACCCTTTGAGTCACCCTCTTAATCACTCACTGAGTCACTCACTGAGTCACCCAGTGAGTCACTCACTGAGTCACCCACTGAGTCACTCACTGAGTCACCCCTGAGTCACTCACTGAGTCACCCACTGAGTCACTCCCTGAGTCACCCACTGAGTCACCCAGTGAGTCACTCACTGAGTCACCCACTGAGTCACTCACTGAGTCACCCCTGAGTCACTCACTGAGTCACCCTCTGAGTCACCCCCTGAGTCACTCACTGAGTCACCCAGTGAGTCACTCATTGAGTCACCCACTGAGTCACTCACTGAGTCACCCTCTGAGTCACTCACTGAGTCACCCTCTGAGTCACTCACTGTGTCACTCACTGAGTCACCCTCTGAGTCACTCACTGAGTCACCCCCTGAGTCACACACTGAGTCACTCACTGAGTCACTCACTGAGTCACCCTCTGAGTCACCCTCTGAGTCACCCCTGAGTCACTCACTGAGTCACTCACTGAGTCACCCTCTGAGTCACCCCCTGAGTCACTCACTGAGTCACCCTTTGAGTCACCCTCTGAGTCACCCAGTGAGTCACTCACTGAGTCACCCCTGAGTCACTCACTGAGTCACCCACTGAGTCACTCACTGAGTCACCCACTGAGTCACTCAGTGTGTCACTCACTGAGTCACCCTCTGAGTCACTCACTGAGTCACTCACTGAGTCACTCACTGAGTCACCCTCTGAGTCACCCTCTGAGTCATCCCCTGAGTCACTCACTGAGTCACTCACTGAGTCACTCACTGAGTCACTCACTGAGTCACCCTCTGAGTCACTCACTGAGTCACTCACTGAGTCACCCTCTGAGTCACTCACTGAGTCACCCTCTGAGTCACTCACTGTGTCACTCACTGAGTCACCCGCTGAGTCACCCTCTGAGTCACCCCCTGAGTCACTCACTGAGTCACTCACTGAGTCACCCTCTGAGTCACTCACTGTGTCACTCACTTAGTCACCCTCTGAGTCACTCACTGAGTCACCCCCTGAGTCACCCTCTGAGTCACTCACTGAGTCACTCACTGAGTCACCCTCTGAGTCACCCTCTGAGTCACCCCCTGAGTCACTCACTGAATCACTCACTGAGTCACCCTCTGAGTCACCCCCTGAGTCACTCACTGAGTCACCCTTTGAGTCACCCTCTCAGTCACTCACTGAGTGACTCACTGAGTCACCCAGTGAGTCACTCACTGAGTCACCCACTGAGTCACTCACTGAGTCACCCCTGAGTCACTCACTGAGTCACCCACTGAGTCACTCTCTGAGTCACTCACTGAGTCACTCTCTGGTGGTGTGGTGGTGGTTGTGGTGGTTGTGTAGTGGTGGTGGTGTGGTGGTGGTGGTGGTTGTGTAGTGGTGGTGGTGTGGTGGTGATGGTTGTGGTGGTGGTGATTGTGTAGTGGTGATGGTTGTGGTGGTGATTGTGTAGTGGTGGTGGTGGTGATTGTGTAGTGGTGATGGTTGTGGTGGTGGTGGTGATTGTGTAGTGGTGGTGGTGGTGATTGTGTAGTGGTGATGGTGGTGTAGTGATAGTGTGGTGGTTGTGATGGTGGTGGTGGTGATGGTGGTAGTGTGGTGGTGATTGTGTAGTAGTGATGGTGGTGGTTGTGGTGGTGGTGGTTGTGGTGGTGGTGGTAGTAGTGATGGTGGTGATTGTGTAGTAGTGATGGTGGTGGTTGTGGTGGTTGTGGTGGTGGTGGTGGTTGTGATTGTGTAGTTGTGGTGGTGGTGGTGGTAGTAGTGGTGGTGGTGGTAGTAGTGGTGGTGGTGATTGTGTAGTAGTGATGGTGGTGATTGTGTAGTAGTGATGGTTGTGATGGTGATGGTTGTGGTTGTGGTGGTTGTAGTAGTGATGGTGGTGATTGTGTAGTAGTGATGGTGGTGATTGTGTAGTAGTGATGGTGGTGGTGGTAGTAGTGATGGTGGTGGTTGTGATGGTGATGGTTGTGGTTCTGATGGTTGTGGTTGTGATGATGATGGTTGTGGTGATGATGGTTGTGGTTGTGGTGGTGATGGTGGTGGTTGTGTAGTAGTGATGGTGGTGATTGTGTAGTAGTGTGGTGGTGATTGTGTAGTAGTGATGATGGTGGTTGTGATGGTGATGGTTGTGGTGGTTGTAGTAGTGATGGTGGTGATTGTGTAGTAGTGATGGTGGTGATTGTGTAGTAGTGATGGTGGTTGTGATGGTGATGGTTGTGGTTGTGGTGGTTGTAGTAGTGATGGTGGTGATTGTGTAGTAGTGATGGTGGTGATTGTGTAGTAGTGATGGTGGTGATTGTGTAGTAGTGATGGTGGTGATTGTGTAGTAGTGATGGTGGTGGTGGTAGTAGTGATGGTGGTGGTTGTGATGGTGATGGTTGTGGTTCTGATGGTGATGGTTGTGGTTGTGATGATGATGGTTGTGGTGATGATGGTTGTGGTTGTGGTGGTGATGGTGGTGGTTGTGTAGTAGTGATGGTGGTGATTGTGTAGTAGTGATGATGGTGATTGTGTAGTAGTGATGATGGTGGTTGTGATGGTGATGGTTGTGGTTGTGATGGTGATGGTGGTGGTTGTGATGGTGATGGTTGTGGTTGTGGTGATGATGGTTGTGGTTGTGGTGGTGATGGTGGTGGTTGTGTAGTAGTGATGGTGGTTGTGATGGTGATGGTGGTGGTTGTGTAGTAGTGATGGTGGTGATTGTGTAGTAGTGATGGTTGTGGTTGTGGTGATGGTTGTGATGGTGATGGTGATGGTTGTGATGGTGATGATGGTGGTTGTCATGGTGATGGTTGTGGTTGTGATGGTGATGATGGTGGTTGTCATGGTGATGATGATGGTTGTGATGGTTGTGGTTGTGATGGTTGTGGTTGTGATGATGATGGTTGTGATGGTGATGGTTGTGGTTGTGATGGTGGTGATGGTGGTTGTCATGGTGATGATGATGGTTGTGATGGTTGTGATGGTTGTGATGGTGATGGTTGTGGTTGTGATGATGGTGGTTGTCATGGTGATGATGGTGGTTGTGATGGTTGTGGTTGTGATGGTTGTGGTTGTTATGATGATGGTTGTGATGGTGATGGTTGTGGTTGTGATGGTGGTGATGGTGGTTGTCATGGTGATGATGATGGTTGTGATGGTTGTGGTTGTGATGGTGATGGTTGTGGTTGTGATGGTGATGGTTGTGGTTGTGGTGGTGATGGTTGTGGTTGTGATGGTGGTTGTCATGGTGATGGTTGTGGTTGTGATGATGATGGTTGTGATGGTGATGGTTGTGGTTGTGATGGTGGTGATGGTGGTTGTCATGGTGATGGTTGTGGTGGTTGTGTTACTGCTGAATACCGGCGCGTTAGACATACTTGCTTCATGTTGCAGACAGAGATGGGGAGAGAGGGAGGGAGATGGAGAGAGAGTGGGGGGAGAGATGGGGAGAGAGAGAGTGGGGAGAGGGAGGGAGATGGAGAGAGGGAGGGAGATGGGGAGAGAGGGGGGAGAGATGGAGGGAGAGAGGGGGAGAGGGAGGGAGGGAGATGGGGAGAGAGATGGAGAGAGAGGGAGGGAGATGGGGAGAGAGATTGGGGAGAGATGGGGGGGAGAGAGGGTGGGGAGAGAGAGAGTGAGGAGAGATGGGGGGGGGGGAGAGGGAGAGATGGGGGGGAGAGGGAGAGAGAGGGAGGGGGAGAGATGGGGAGATGGGGAGAGATGGAGATGGAGAGATGGAGGGGGAGAGATGGAGATGGAGAGGAGGGGGGAGAGATGGGGAGAGAGGGAGGGAGGGAGATG